ACCCTGTACAGAAAATATATTTATTTGATTTTATACCTACATACATTCATGGTAATACTAGATTTTGTTCTAGAAAACTGAATTATCCGAGTTTATTCGAAAATTATCCGATGATACACGAAATTATCTGAAAGATGATAAACAAACTCACTGTTGACTCTACACACTGCCTATACAGGGGCAAGGCTGACATTTTTGTAGCCCTTTTGCATGTCAAAATTCCATAATCGAGACCTGTGTAAGCAACGTCTCCCGATCTGACCGCCGAATATGTGAATTTAGGGTACTAAAACTTTTAGCACCATCCGTTAACGGAAATTAATGAAAGCTAGATTATGATTAGATGGAACAAGTAAAACAGAAGGATCCGTATAAAAATAGTATGGGTAGACAACATATTCGTAATAATTTTAATTTTATATAAATTGGTTTCCCCTTGTGCTAAGGGATGTGACTTACAGGCCTTACAGACAAACCGACACTGGAGATTAAACACAAGTGCAGAGAACTAAGTGAGAACGAACTACAAGATTCTACTCAGTGTTTTGAAGAGAAATCCATCTCTCATAACAGAAAATGCTAGTAATAGCAGGATGTATTATTTCACTTCGACGATTTTTCATAAAATTAAACGATAACAGGTTCACTTCTGTGATTAGTACTTGGATGTGTGACCATTTTAAGGAAAGTCTTCGTACTTATAAAGCCCAATCAACTGCCCGCGTAGTTGCAGACGTTATATCAATGAGTAAGATGTCTAGCCGGAGAGGCTAGTCACGAGACTATTGTGCATGTCTCCGGTCACGTTTTGGATGCGTGACCACTGGACCGACTAATAGTTAAGCATCGATGTCGTGGAACGAATAATGATGAATGGGAAGGAGTAGGGCATCCAAATGGTGGCACAATGGGCCATCTGCGTTTCAGTGCCGCCATGCGAACGCAAAGACTGGACCTTAAGCCTGATTGAGGGGAGTCTGCCGGAATCCCTCGGGGGAGAGTAGAGGGATACCTGAAAGGGTAAAAAAAGAGGTATAGCGTCCGGTATGGCATCTTTCGGAGATTTTAAGCCGTTGGTCCCGAGTCCATTAATGTTGGACTCATTGAAGATCCGTATCTCTGGTTGGAACACCAGAGGATTGATTCAGCAAAATTTCTGGTATTTGAGGATAGCGTGTTCACCAGCACCTCGTTGTTAGAAATAGATCAACGTTAAATAGTAATAAAAAAAATTACTTGAGTAGTATAACGTTTTTTCTAAGTTACATTTACATAGTCATCATTTCGTCATCTTTTACTACGCTAAATATTTTGTCTGATACTGTATGTGGTTATATTTTCTATATTTGGAAAATCGATAGATATATAATGTATTCGATGAAGTTTATTGATATTTCTTTATATTTGGGATGTGTTCAATATATAAAACAGTATACTATATATGAAATCAAAATTTTGTGAAGTGTGCCACATCGGAAAATAGTCTGTTTTTTAGTCCATTATTGCAAGAAATAAAAAATAATTTGTATGTGTAGCGATTAAACTGTATGTCAATTATCAAAAATTGTTTTTAAACTACGAAAAAGTAATGTAGCATAAGCAATATAAAATATAATGTTAAATGAAAAAAGAAAGTTATGCAGATTTTATACAGTTAATGCTACTGAACTTCTTCATGGTAAAATGTGCAATGTCGCGGAGATTTAAAATTTAGTTTAATAAGGTGCTTATGAAAGCAAACATTTTATTGTTGTACATCGATTAAGTAATTTCATAAATAAAAAGAATTGTTAAACATTTATAATTGTTTAATTTTTTTTCACATGACCACATACAGAGTGAGTTGTAAGTATGGAACGCCTCAATTATGTCGAAAACAGCTTGCACGATTTTTATATACTTTGGTCTGTAAAGGTTGTATTTACTTTGTTGTCAGATCTTTCAGTTTTCTGGAAATATAATAAACTTTGTTTTTTCAAAAGGATCACCCTGTACATTTTTTCTATTTCGAAATCCTTAAAAACTACTGATTATTTTTTATGTAATGTTCTCTATACCTAAATGCCATAATTTAATGTTACAGCTACATTTACATTATCTCCGCGGAAGTTAAAATAATACATCTAGATGGCTATGATTGAATAAACTTGTTTAATTTGAATAATCTTTAATAATCTATTAGCGTTTTCGATTCGAGGCTCGGCTTGCACTGAGAACATACGAAAGGTGGGAGATACGTCAATGCCAGTTACTTTTCACTCTAAAAAGTGACTGGTATCGATATATCGCTCATCTTTAATGTGCATTCCTCGCAGGCAGGATTGTGGAATCGAAAACGCTATATATCATAACAGAAATCTCGTAATAAGGTCTAATTTCAGTAAAATAGTAAAAATGTTTATCGAATCTGGTGCAGTAAAAGATTTATCCAAATCATGGCCCAGAAAACCTACAGCAACTGAAGACAAATCTTATGTTTGTGTCATGTTAAAAGTAGATTCAAATTTGAGTAATAGAAAAATTAGAAACTTTAGAAAACATAAAGGCGATTACAGCAGATGCTCAAAATGTTGTCTATTTACTTCAATACAACAAGCCATGCTATTTTTAAAACTGTAATACATTTTGCAACATCCTGGACTGCTCAACTTTTATCTCTGTGGTAATGCTATCTTTTAATTCCTGAATACTGACAGGTTTTTTTTTATAAACGATGTTTTTTAAGTGACCCCACAGGAAATAGTCTAAAGCAGCTGTACTCAACCTTTTTTTTTTTTTTCAGGAAACATAAATCTGTTTGTTATGCTACACGAGCCACAATATTTTTGGGTGATAACTAGAGTTGCCACCTTTTTGAAATGCAAATAAAGGACAATGGGTGACGATATGAATCCGCGCTTTAAATATTTTCTAAAAAAAAAGTCGCAAGTTATATATTGAGAATATAATACTCTTTTATGATATAAATAGATTATACTTATTAATAATCATTTTCTACTTTATAAATAGGAGTAGAACTTTATTATTGTTGTTATTTTGAGGTAGCTTTAGTCAGAGTTATCTAAGATACCCATTTAAGTATATTTTCTACTTAATAAAATTTTTAAAAATAAAAGTTCCTTTTTGGAATGTATAACTGGCGCAGTCAGTAGGATACACGCGAGTCGTGAAAAAGTTTAATCGAGTTCGCTGTTGCCGTGCCGAATATTAACTTTTCGTGACTTTGGAATTTTAATTCCTTAATTGTGGTTCCTAACTAAGAATTGGTGGACGTCATCCCTTTTGTGGCGACAGTCTAACCTCCAATCGTCGATTATTGGACATCAGCCCATGGTGGGAATTCGAAACGACAATTAGAAAGCAATTGAAGAACATAGTAAGTGCCAAATGTCCTTTAATTTAGAGGTATTAAAAAGATTATACTATTATATAATTTTGAAACTATTTTATATTTTATTTTGATTATATTTTAGGAGTGAATCAGAAATTGATACTTTGTTTGCGCAATTTGCAAATATATCATTACAAGATAATAAATCAGATAGTGTAGGAAGTAATTTAATCATGGCACCTCCAGTAGTTGAACGTAGACAAGTGAATTGGGACCTTTTTAAGTCCAAAATAGATAAAAACTTTTGATGGCGATAGTAATTCACTAAATAAATTTATAAATAGATGCGAAAGTTTGATTGGTACTTATAGAACATATAATGACCCAGAATTGGATGCACATATCCAAGAAAAATTAGTAGGAAAAGCTGAAATAATGGTAGGAAACAGAATTGAAATTAATACACGGATAGGTTTAAAAATGCTTTGTTTCAATGTTTCTCCAATCGAAGAGATTTAGATTGCTTAGTCCAAGAATTGACGCGTAGTAAACCCCTAAAAGGTGAACATTTAATAAATTTTGCGAGTAGATTTTAAAAATAAAAGTTCCTTTTTGGAATTTATAATTCGCAGGAACAGGACTGTAGGTCAAACATTTCAATTACCAATAATCGTCGCACAAAAAAGTTTGGAGGGCCGCAAAAAACAGCTTGGAGGGCCGCATGCTGCCCACAGGTCGAGTATGGCTGGTCTAAAGAATTCGTCGCGGGGCCAATCTATCTTATTTATTTAGGTATTGCTAGGGATCTTATTGATATTAAATGATGAAAGTAACGATATTTAAGCATCGATACTTAGAAGCGAGTATCATATCGCATAGGCGGGACAGCCCCGATTTTAAAGCACTAGTCCCGCTTCTGCCCGACGAAAAAAAAATACATACATATATTTCATTTAAGCCGCTTTATACAACGCACTCCATGAAAGATTTCTTTTTTTGCTCATCAATGAATTGCAAATAGAATTTGTCAAAAAAATGGAGATTTTGACACTCTACTTTTCAAAATATGGTCACTCACCTAGAAAGGGTGTCATTAATAATTGCCAACTACAAAATATAATACTTTATTGAAGCAAAATTGTTTTACTCGTTCAGATACTTCGTTACTTATAAATATGGATGTCTTGAACATTAAATTTTTCTCTATCGCAATTTGTTCAAATTCTATTAGACTCCAAAATACATCAACACCTAACAATATATCAACTGGAGGTGGACTGTTGAAACATTAATATGGTCTGGTATTTTAAATATGCACTGATTTAGGCTAAACGACTATAGTAATAATATCAATTAGAAGCTATAAATAGACCGTAATTTTTAATTCGCATAAGATAATGATTGATTTAGACCGTTTATTTACAACTGAGGTCACTATCAAGCAGCACGTGCTGTATTTTTAACTATTTAATTATCTTATGGAGACATCTCAAATTGTATTTAGGTATCCAAAAAGTTTTTCTTCTCATATTGTAGATCTGATGATGGTCTAAGGCCGAAACCAGTTGTCATTTAACTTGTTAATAAATTTTATTTATGTGAGATCTTACCTTTAAGAGCAGTTCTTCAGTTATCATCCTTGTTTTCAGTTTTAAATAAAAATACGAAATTGACAAAATAAAACCCATTTTATTAAAATTTCTTGTATATTAAAAAAATTGACCATAAATCATTAATATATAACATTTGAGTTATGACTTTATTGGCGACAATTCAAGACAAATATCATTTTTTCCCTTGTACTTATATTTTTTTTATAATTATTGAATAAATTTTAGTGAGGTCAATGTTACATGTCCCCCAAACAACTATTGCCTGCCACACACCAACATAGTAAGGCACCAGAAATTTTTATACATTATAATTTTAATACATTGGAAAAAATGCTACTTTCATATTTTGCAATGATAGGTGGCACTGATATTTTATTCAAAAACCAACGAACCCAATTTCTGAAACAAAAAGAAAAAATAGTTTAGAGACATATAAATTACTTAATCCTAAAATCTTACATTTTAGTAATTAATGAAGATTAATTTGGTTATAGAAAATATAAATAAGCATTTTATGGAATATCAGTATATCACCGAAACTGAAATATGAATAACAAATTGTCAAAAACATACAAACAAGGTGGTTCGTAACTCAAGAGTTAATAAAGAAATCTCAGTTATAAAGGGTGGAAGACCCAATGAGTAGGTATGGATTATAAGTTAAGTGTTCCATTTCCAATATAACACCCTATATATTTGTCAAAGTTAAAATATAATACTAATACAATAATAATAATACTTTCCCTAATTCACCCCCTTACGAGTGAATTTTAACCCCAAAAGCTGAGCTTGTGCGAGGAAAGGGGCGGCTATTATTATTATTATTTGCCGGGGCGCTCCGGGGCGACTTAAAGATGATTGATGGTGCCATTTGACTTACAGGTGAGGAAAACCCGGAAAACTTCACCCACCATCATCGAGACGGTACTGCATGGCGATTTTATAATCTGCATGTCATATCAACAGAAATAGAATTTCTATTAATACGGCACACATCAAATCCTATACAGAACCATGCAATTTAATTAAAAATCCACATGGTCTGGTCTGGGATTCGAAGACCGTGTGTCTCTGATCATAAATTTGCCTATAAATGAATATAAGCGCGTGAGACTGCTACACCACCGACCCAAACACAATACTATGTAATGCTAAAAGGCTCTCATTCCACTTATTATAATAGAAAGAAGAATAACTTTTATGTTGCATTTGTTTTTGTCATTTTATCGAACATATTCTGTTTTGACTGAAAAGTGACTTTTTGGTAAAGCAAAGTATTTTTTAGAAAGATATTTTTCTAGTAATAAAAACTGCTACCTAATGTTAAACATTCCAATACAATACATGCTGTATTTAATTTTTTTGGGTGTATATTTTTAGGACATTCTCTCCTAACTGTCAGTAAAACACTTATTTCGTCATTGATTTAACTAAAACTAAACATACACCAATCACTATTGTCAATATTATTTTAGCAATGATATATAAACAGATAGGGTGTTCCATAATGACATTCCAATATTTTAATAGGGTGTTTTGCCAACCATTTACAAGGGAGGTTTCTTAAAAAATTTTGTAATTTGTGTGCCTTGTTTTCTAAATGATTCTCTTATATTAAAACGTCAAGATAAATAATTTTTTTGTATAGAAACTGTTGAATATATACGGAAAAATAACAACAGTGAAAAGTTTATAAATTACTTGTTGTAGTACTTGAGGTTTCCAATCATGAACAGAAAGAAGAGACACAATCATAAAGTAGGGTTCGATCATATGTACTAAAATTAAAATTTCTAAGTCTAACCGTTTTAAAAAAAAACTATTGCAAAATGTTATCAAAAAACCTTCCTTTAACTAGTTGGTTTTTCACTGTTAAAACGTCGGAACATCATTATATTAGTTTGAGAAACCTATTTAATAACCCACACAAGCTTGTCTTTCTGTGAGTTTCTCTTAGGTACTCAATTTTATAACTTTGTAATTTTGTACATCCAATTTGTATATATAAACTGTCACAACGCTTGATAACATTGAGAAAATCGAAATTTAATCAATGCCAGTATAGGTGTTATTTGCTATATTCCAGTTTATATTGAATTAAACAACATGAATTTAATTCATCAATATTACTGGACATCATTTTGCAATATGAATAAACAGAAAAAATAAATAAAATCACTTACTTATTCACTTTCACCTTCGGAGTCACTTTCTTCTTCTGCATTTTGCAACCAATTAATGAACTCTTTCATTTGCTCGACAAACATCATTTTGCCTTTAACATTGTAGTCCTGCTTGTACCATTTCAAAATGGTTTGTTCTGAGATCACGTCCGTCTTATAGAACAACATAATGATTTTCTGAAAGGCCTTCATAAATGTCATATTCGAATAACAGTAGTCCTGGACTTTCAACAACAGGCTCAGTTCAGAACGCGCCGATTCCGTAAATGCGGCGAAGAGATTTGTGTAGTATTTGAGGTGTCGTACGGCTTGTTCAGTTACAAGTTCCTAAAAAGAATATACAACTTATTAGAATTTATTCAATTTTATTTTACGGCAGGCGATAGGCCAAACAAATATATTATTTTCTTTAAAATATATTGATATACAAAGCATATATACAATATTTGTGACATAATGAATCAATTTATACCACTGGAGATGAGAAAGAAAAATTCGTTAATGGCTTAATAAACAATTATTGTTTAAAGAAATTGGAGAAAAAATGCGCTCATGGGATAAATATACTAGTAGTAAGGATGATCGTGAATACAGAAATTACAGAACCCAAAATAATCGTTTGAAATCTTTATTATGTGCAACCAGGAAAACATACGAAAATAGTTTAGTTACAGCTGGTGACAAAAAATTCTATGCATAAATTAACCCGTTGAAGACTGTCGGTATTCTGAGAAGACCACCTCTATAAATTCCTCTTAAACTTCCCACCGGTTTCTCAATTATACCACTGTGTTGCAAAAATCAGAAGAACAGTCTAATTTTTATTGCAGAATATTTAATTTTTAATTAGTTTATGTTCCCACTGGTATCTTGAGAATACCACATCCTACAGGGCGTACTGCAGAATCAGGATTGTTTATTTCGTTTTAAATTGTTTTAAAAATGTACAATAAAAAATTTATTTTACAAAAATCTAACTTTGGTTTTAAAATAAAAATTAGGCTGCAAAGAGTTAAAAGATCTTTATGTTCAAATACCACTAATATTAACCTAAAAGATGAATATTCTAAAATATTAATACTGATCCCTCAGAAAAAGCTGCAACTCTAACAACCCCTAGGAGAACTTCAGATTTATTAATAGTGTTTTTTACTCCTGAAAAAGTTAGTGAAGCTATCCGCTCTCAGAAAACTGATTCAAGTTCTAGAAGTGATGAAAAACCTGCTATTTTCTTACGAAAATGTGTTGAATCGCTAATGGCCACTAGACCAGTACCAAACACCTTGAAGCATGCAATTGTGACACCATTGTTTAAGAAAGGAAACAAACATGAATCTGCAAAGTGATGGAGAAAATAATAATAATCAGAGAAATCACTGATTTTTGACTGAATAATAAATTAATTCCGCTATCACATGGTTTTCTACCAAAACGATCAGTAGTAACTAACTTACTCTCATCCCTGAATTAGTTGACAACTTGGCATGACAATAGTGAACCAACAGATATAATATACTATGCAAAAACCTTCGATAAAGTACCACATAGGAGCATCACGGAATCAGGAGAAATTTACGTAAATGTATTGAGAATTTTTTAATGAATAGGCAGTTCTGTGTCATGAGTTATTGGTCAACTATCAAAAAATCACCCTGTTATCAGTAGGAACATAGTAAATATTACACAAACACAGTATTTTTTTAGAGAAAAGACATCAACAATCCAACCAGTCAGGATATTAGCATCAAACACACAGCAAAACTACTTGCAAGGTTACAAAATAGCACTGCTATGCTTAAATATAAAAATAAAGCACTTGCTTCCATTTGATAGAGGATTATTATATAAATTACACCAAGTAAATTGCCAAGGAGTCCCACAAGATTCATAATTTTCACCATTTTTTTTTAATGTTATATTACAAATAATACATATAGGGGTGATTGCTAACTTCTCCGATATACAAATGATACTTCAATAGTTGTACACGATCATAGATTGGATTGTGCAGAGGTCAAGATGCAAACAACGTTGATAGAATATCTTGAAATGTGGCTCAAACAATGGAGGCTAATAGCCAACCCCAAAAAGTGTCAACTAATCTTATTCAATCATATCATCAAAGTTACAGTTACAATATCAAATGTTCTCGTCAAACTTTAAAGTAACTTTAAATACGTTGGAGTATTAATAGACAAACTGAACTTCAAAAAACATCGTATAATCATGAAAAAAAGTAGTTACTTGAGCTAAACATTTTGGAGGATTGGCATGCAAGAACCAGGAGGCACAAAATTGATCGAAAAACATTTGATCGTATTGGAAATTTAATCAAATAGCATTTGATCAAAGATATATTTTATTGAATAACATTTTATCGAAAAGATAACAGATCTACAATTAATTAGATCGAAAAGACAATATATCAAAAATTAACATTAAAAATAGTAAAATATTAAAAAATTCAAAAGACACCATGCAACCGTCCGTCTAATCCCTACTACCGGAGAAACTAAACTCAGCTGCTATCAAATTAAGTACTAATGGCATATTTTTCGATAATCTCAAATGATAGCTACCTTGTTTAACAAATTTTACCTAACCTGTGCAGCCCGGAGCTGTCGTGGTTTGGCTCGCAAAGAAAATATAAAAAAATCTTAACTAATTTACCTAACCTGTGTGGCCTGGAGCAATTTAATTTTAACTGATTGCTCTCGCACAGGTTAGATAATTTGGTTAAGTTTAAAAAAAACACTAACTTACCTAACCTATGCGGTCTGGAGCCTCGCAAAAAAATTATAAAAAAATGAGAAATTAGGCAAGTTAGTTACGTTTTATTTTTTAATTTTTGTTGTATTTGTTTTTGGAAAGCAACCAGCAATGACTCTAGACCGCACAGATTAGGTAAATTGAGTTTATTCTTCTTCTAATTTTATGTATTTTTGGTTTAGCCATCAATTGCTTTTCCTACCAAATCTATTTTCGATCATAGTTCTTTTCATCATTTTTCTTTTCGATCAATTGTTATTCCGTAAAATGTTTTTTTGATCAAATGTTTTTGTTCAATTTTGAGCCACCTACAGGAACCAAGATATTTATATCTATGCAGACCACTAATCAACTATGCTAGTGTCTTATTCCGAATATGTCAAAGAAACATCTATAATAATATTGAGATAGCAGAAAGAAGTACCCAAGGAATCATGAGATATCCTGATAATAAACTCCAAACCCTCTAAATATACTTTTATATGAGAAAACACAATTGGAAAATATAACAGTAAGAATCCAACGAAATTTGCCAACAAATCAATAATTAATATTAACAATATTAACAAACACGCATTAATAATTCCCAACCAGTATATTAGAGACATTACCCACAGCTCATCATCTTCGAATCCATCCAAAGACAGATAACCTAAGAAGATTAACTTTCTTTAATTATCAAATGTTTTATAACAACTATAATAACTGGAAATATGGACAAACAGACTCCGGCCGATATCCCTTTGGGAGTACAAGTTTTAAATATGTCACAACGCTTGATAACATCGAGAAAATAAAAATTAATCAATGCCAGTATAGGTGTTATTTGCTATATTCCAATTTATAATGAATTAAATAACTATGAATTTAATTCGTAAAAATTATTGGAAATAATAAAATTTTGATGTATATAAACCTAACATCTGGCAAAAAAAAAAACGTTCGGCAAGTAATTACTTTTTGAAAATGTATGAAAGCGGCTTCCAGACTATAACCATCCTTTTGTAAAGTGGAAGTCAGGGGACATAATAGTTTTCGAGTATTAGTTCCAACAGATAGTTCTCTTGGTCATCAAACATACACGTTAAATTAATAACTAAATACAATCCACCATTACTCAGTAAATGGAAATGTAGTCCTTGTAGTGATAAATTGATTATACTCACAAAACAACCAAAGCACACCCTCCATTTGAACTAAAACTTTATTTTGAAATATTCATATTAGTCCGATATCTTTGCGAATATTTTGTTTATATAAATCACAACACCGCTTTCTTTAAAACTATGATATTTGTCACACATGAGCCAAGCAAGTGTAACAAAAATAGTGCGCATGAATGTAATTTTACTATAAATTTTTACAATGTATTCTTCTATCTGTTCATTGACGTACGAAATTTTTATATTCTACGTCATTTGACATAACATTTTTTAAGTTAATTAATAAAAATAAAACTAACACCAAACGAATAAAATCACCGAGGCTCAATTCATTAATACGCGTCCATTGATGTATCACATAAGAAGTAAATAAAAAATGGATATTACTTTTTTTTTTTCAGAAATGTATGAAAAATTTAAAACAATTGCGTTTTTTAAATTCCTATATCGGATGGTGTCAGAAGAACATTGGTAGTTGCACGAGGTGTGATAGAACACACTAGTAAAAAAGCTAATTTAAACAATTATTGACGACCTTTAAGACGTATGTATTATTTTCATTAAAAATGTACTAAACCAAAATTCACTATCTTGGAAGAGTATACTTAATAAAAAAAATTATTCATACAATTTTTTAAGAATCGACAAAAGCGATTAATTATATAATCTTATAGAACATTCTATGCGGGTGCTTCAGCTTTGAGGTTGGATAACAATAAAATGTAGAATAAGGATAAGAAAAAGATGAATTTAGTCCAATTTTTTCACTTTTAATATGTACATCTATTTCAATATCACTCCGTTTCAGGTACATTATCAATCACAATTATAAGAAAATATCAATCATTGTTTAATTTACGTACCTCCTTTTTAGACCATTCTGGAATGTCCATAACCGTGGTCCATATAATACAAACTGTTTCATGTTCTAAAATATTATCTCTCAAAGCAATTTCTTTGATTTCATTAATTATATCACGAAGAGGTTTATTCTCATTGAGGCTATCTGCCAGAAGCACCTGTAGCTCTTTCTTAGCTAACTGTTGGTGCTGATCGTTGTATAATTTGAGTATTTCCTCTAGACCATTATCCTAAAAAAAATGTAAATTTTAATTCATTATTAATGTAGTTTACCTTTTAAACTATAAAAAAAAACTATAAACAGCATTTTCTTAAAAAAAAGTAGAATTTATTCTCAATATTAAGTCAATAATTAATAGGCCATATAAACTGAAAGTCCCTCTCCTCTATATCCTCCTCAAATAAGAAGTCTGGTTTGAGTTTATTTTTAACATATAGAAAAATAAAGATATTAATAAGAATAGTAAACATTTTGTTCAGATTCGTATATACAATAATCTTATTTTAGAATGTATTACCTGAAAGGCATTGCGAAAGTACAACTGAGACTGTTTCGTGTCTGGTATGAAGCTCGTCAGATGAGATTCAATGTTTGATTTTTTGATGGCAGAATAGAGTGAATTGACACCCTTCTCTTGTCGCCAAGCCTTGAACACGTCTATAAGGAAGTCCAACGCTAAGTGATCTTTGACCAGATGAGAATTATTCAAGACAAGTACAGCTGTAAATGGTATGGCACCATTCGCTATCCAGATGTATACCATCACGGACAATTTTTTGCGATCGGATGGTAGGAAATACTTCACGAACATTAATATTTTCTTAATTTCGTCCTAATATAAATAAAAGATAATAATCAGAAGTTTTATAATAAATGGAAATTGGTTAAAATTTTATTAATACAACATTAGAGGAAATTGCGTGTAAAACCGGCTATATCCATCTTTATAAAATGTTGGGAAAATGGAAAAAACTGCCCACTTCCTGGCCGCCTTAGTTTTTAAATAAAAATATATATATAGAAGATAAAAGAATTATTGGGCAAATACCGCAAAAAAAAAATGCCTAAAGGCAAACCGTAGACACTTGTTTTTGACTATTGGTCTTCATCAGTACGGTGCAGCCAAGTTCAAAAGAGAATGGAACTAGGCGATGAAATCAAATCACAGGAGATCACTCAAGAAGCCAACCACACATTTGTGGACTGTGCTAACATTCCCAGTGATTACTAGGAAAATATTAGCGTCGCCACGGAGGCAGTTATAGCCGCTATGAAGATGCATCCAAGCCCAGGGAAACTAATCCATAAATGTATGGTTGGCTTCTTGAGTGATCTCCTGTGATTTGATTTCATCGCCTAGTTCCATTCTCTTTTGAACTTGGCTGCACCGTACTGATGAAGACCAATAGTCAGAAACACGTGTCTACGGTTTGCCTTTAGGCATTTTTTTTTTTTTCATTTTTTGCGGTATTTGCCCAATAATTCTTTTATCTTCTATATTTTTTCACCGCACTAAACCTTTTCTTGTTTATATATATATAAAAAGTTGTGGACTCTAATGTGCTTCATAGATTAGATATAAGTGGTTGATTATCACAAACTTCCTATTAAGGCTCAAATATAAAAAAAAACCGTTATGGATAAACTCCAGTTTGCTTCAAAACACAAAAAAAAATCATTATTATTTTCCGGTATACTGTGGCACAGGACGACATGCATTAGCTCTACATTAGGTTCACTCTTTTCCTGTTTTAAAGAAAGTCTGACATGCATTTACTTATAATTAATAATAACATGATAAAAAAAGTATTTTAATAAATAAACAGCAGTACTACGTATTTTACATTCATTTTTCCAAAATAAAAAAAAAAGATAAGATTGATTTCGTCAGGATTTGAACCAGTGTCCGCGAAATGCATGTTGAATGCTTAGATATCTAAGCTATCCAGACATGTCAAGTGAGTTATCTAATAAAATGTGTACTATAACTTTCAACAAAAAAATTAAAAATTTGAGGGCATACCTCATCTGTAACCTACAAAGAGGTGATATGTAAATTTTCAACCAAAGGTTGGATCGTTTTTTTTAGTTAGTTTAGGTAGTTATTTTTTACAAGTATTGAAGATAAGACTTCCTGATAGTCCCTCTAACCACTTCCCAAAATAAATTTGATCAGTGCTGATGAAAAACTAATAGAAAAAGTAATATATCTTTAAATGATTGATCATTTAGAGAGGAACGACATGATAAGAAACATATTTTGTAGGTAAATTAAATTACTAAGCTTATATATAGAAATTCGTGGTTATTGAAGCCAGAGTTAGATGAGGAAGTTTTTACTTAAACACAAAGATTTCTTATTATAATTCTATAATAAATTTTATGCTTCATGTAATGTAACTGAATGCTAACTAACCTGGAATATTTTTTCCAAATACTTATAGCGACGCATTAGTTTGATAAACACCTGTTCCCAGTTCTTCATTATTTCCATATTGATTTCATCCGGTGTATTGAAAATGCACGCCTCCGTTCCAAATGGTCCTTCGCCTTCTTGTGACAGTGTACCTCCTGGAACTAAATGCAGGATAAAAATCATTTAATTTAGTTTTATCACAGAGATTTTGAGTTATAAGTGAATATATAATTTATCTGCTTACCCAGGATGCCTCCTGCAATGAGTATATCAAAGAGACTTTCGCCATAGCGACGATAATCTAATTTGTTTCCAGCACCGTCCAAATATCGAGATATAGCTTCAAAATCGTTAGAACATTTATCGAGTCCAGAGATTATTGCATCCCTAAACCCATTTGGATCATACCTCTCCTTTTCATCTGAAGTAAAAACGTTATATATTAAAAGAATTAATGACAAATTAAACAATATGTTTTCATATTTGAATATTAATTCTGTTTTGTGAGCATTATACTTAAAAAAATAGATTTTTATTTAAACAAAATTATTTATTATCTAACATTTTAGGTACTAAAAAAACTAAAGTTAGTTTGTAACCGTTTTATATGAATATGCCTGCATTTGCAAGTAAAAATATTTAGCTATTTCTTCAGGAACCGTTTATGCAGGTACTATTTGTCCATATAAGGTAAAATTATCGTACTTTACAAATAATTTTATACAAAAATGTTTTTTTTAAGCTTTAAATAGAGTTAATTAGAATTATAAATTAGTTGAATAGGTTTAGCTTATCAAAATGATTGGTAAACCTGTTATATTCACTTTAAAATTTAAATAACATTACATGATAAAACATATTTTGAAAAAAGCAAAAATTAAATATATTGATATTGAAATGTTTATACAAACAAATCTAAAAATACTATATAGGTAAAACTGAGTTAATATTTGCAAGATATAAAATATCAGAATGTTACTTTAACATAACAAATTAACAATGAGAAAATTGAAAAAGTAGTATTTATTATTAAAAGGAGTGTCCAGAACAGTTATTTGGAGGACAACTTATAATAAAAAGAGTGCTAATAAGAAAAAAGTAAGCATATAGTCCAAAATATGGTACACGTTTGTGTATGAATAAGACTATAGTCGAAGAGATACCGCAATAAAACTGCATGATCAATATGTATTAAAAGCTGGGGGCTCTAAAGCTCCTATGACTAGGTTATAGCACCTTATAGGTCACTAGCAGGTGGTCCTAGACTATTATAGTAGATAAATAGTGAATATTTGTCAAGGGTCCGATTTGAACCGATAAAATAAAACATTTGACTAGTCATCGATTCTTCATCTATTGTTCATGATCCTCAGACGGCAATCGGACACTCATTTTATGAGCATATAATGTGAACGAAATCACTGCATCTCTTCGGCGCTGCGACTATTAATTTATTAAAGAAGACGGGAATTAAATAAACTTTGAAAAAAATATGAAGAATATTACTATTTTAATAAAGGAAAGTGTATAATATAATATTAATGAGAATTTAAAATGAATATACAAACATAGGATAATATACATTTTAAATAAAAAACATACACAAATTTATATCAAAATTGCTACTGGAACTTTTTACACTTTCTCAAAAAAATGATACTATATTTATAGTTATTATTTGTTGATATGTGATAGCAATATTGTGCCATAAAATTCACTCATTTCTGTTCTCTTTGGTAATACATAAAATTATGGGAGTTCTACCAGAGACATCCAGTCCAGACTTATGTTTGTTGATGATGCAGTATTCAGTAATTCATTGGAATTCCTAAACAACAAGTTTTCCTAGGTAAAGACAAATGGTATTAGAATTAGTTATTTCAATAATTCAAAGGCAGTTTCCAGTGGTGATAGAATTGCAAATGCCTGCGATGAAATGCAAATGGAACAAGTAGTGTGTAATAATTAAAACAGAAAGTCCTATTTTATTTATACTGAATGTATATGAAAAAACGTCCAATATAAAGCAGTTACATAATAATACAACATAGTATATGTAAAGAAAATTGCAAATATTAAAAAAAAAAAAATACAAAGTTTTAGAATTATAAGATCAAACGAACTTACCTGAAGTGAAGTTCGATCTTAATTATATGAAGCCTCGTCGAAGTAAATAAGATATATGTCGCCATCTGTATATGCTTCGATTTGACCACATAGTTGAAAGTTGGAACTATTTGATATATTCCCTTCTCCACCAATCCCCTCATCTCAACACTTTGCTTTAGTCATTTCATAGCATACTTGTTGCAACTTAAGGGGACTTTAGAAATATTGGGTGGGTCTGGGACTTATTTACTTCGACGAGGCATCATATAATTAAGATCGAACTTCACTTCAGGTAAGTTCGTTTGATCTTATAATTATATTTCTGCCTCGTCTCGTAAATAAGATATATGTCGCTGTTTAAAGCATGTTGCAACAAAAATTACGATAAAACATTTTATTTATATTTTTAACTGATTACAAGTTTAAAATTTATATTGTCATAATTGACCCACTTTCAAGAAAACTTAAAAAATAGAGATATGTCATGTGCTCTAAGAGGAAATAAATGCTCCATAGCAATTACTCAAAATGAAGTTCACCCATAAGCCGATGGTCTGCGTAGAGGCAGCATGATGCAGCTTCCTAATTTTAATGTACATAGGCTACCACAATTAACCCTTAAGTCTTTAATTTTTTCTATATACTCTAACAAGGTTGATGCTACTCAAATACCTGGGTTTGATAAAAGAAAACGGAAGGTTTAACATGGGATAAACTCTATTGTTAGCTGATATCTTTACTTTTTTCGTTACCTTTTTCTGAATTTCTTGTTCTTTTCTGACAATTTTGTATCTCTATGGCTATAAAATTTGAATGTGCTAACCAATATATAAGACCAGTAACACTGCTAATTTATTGGTAAGGTTTTGACACTACATTTATATCCCACGTATTTTCTTATTTAAGCACATCTGGTCTTAAACCTAAAAAACTTCTAAAAAAAAATATCTTTTTGCCTGAAAAGATTGTGCCATTTCAGGTTCAGCTATTTGCGCTATATCTAATCTGTAACAGTTTAGTGAATTATATAATAATAATAATAATAATAATAATAATAATAATAAATCGTCTTTATTCACCATAACAAAAAACAAAGAAAGAATAAATTTTTTTTTTTTTTTCTACCTAAATATAAAAATAACAAAGGTGAATAGGCGGAGTGTCAGCATAGGCTGTTTTTCAACTCAACCTCAGTAAAGATCCAAGAAAATATCAAGAACCAAAGAGCAGATCCGAGATGAACAGAGATTATTGTTTTTATTAGAACCGTCCTAAACCGACAATCAAGCCTTTTAACCTTTTTTTAAAATTAATTAGAGTGTACGATCCAAATTCTTTAGGCAGTGTATTGTATAATTTAGCTGCGGTGTAAGAGAAACTTCGCTGTCCAATGGATGAACTAAATTTGGGAATTACTAACGTACTCTTATTCCGAGTTCCGTAATTATTACTGAAATGTGTGAATTTATTAAATAGATATTTCGGTTTTTGATATTTAAGAATTTTGTGAGTTATATTCAGAATATGCAAAGAATGTAATTTTTTGATATGCAGCCATTTTGATTCTTTGAATTTCTGTGAAATATGGTCAAATTTGCGTATACCGTAAGCGAACCTAATACACGAATTTTGAATTTTTTGAAGACGATTTAAATCCCTTTGAAGAAGAGCTGGTCCAAATACCGTATCGCAGTATGATAACTTTGACATAATGAGTGATTCACACATTTTTAATTTAAGTTTAGGTGAAAGTATATCCCTATTAGGATACAGTTGTCTTAACACGTTGTATGAGCTTTGACACAGTTGAGAAATATGTTTAGTGAACCTAAGTTCAGAATCAATCCACAGCCCCAAGTTTTTATGATCATAAACAAGTGGAATGGGGTCATGACCTATGCTAAGTTTAAAATTATTAGTTAGAAGATTTCTAGCTTTCTAGCTATGATGAATCTCTATAAAATTGTCTTGTTAAATAGTCTAACATGGACTTCCAACTACAATTTTAATCGGGAGTTATATTTTTTAGGCATAGTATCCGATATCCATGAGAGTTTACTAAATAATATCCCTGCCAATCAGGGAAATTATTCCTGAGAAAGGATGGGTTATCCTATCAAAAGAAAGTAAGTCCTTATTAGGAGTGAATATCAATGTCTAATCTACTCATAGCAATAAAAATAACGGATACCAAGGCTGAGAGTCCCATAATGGTACCACCACCACGTCTTTCACCTTTTTGTTTACTGTAGTAGTACTTATAAAATTATATTAAAAAGCGGAAATGTATAAAATTAAATATTTTAACCAGTTAAAAATGCATTACTGGCTACTGCGTTTGGGTTTCCCAGCCAAGATATAAATCGTTTACATTTATTAAACTTGCAAATAAGTTTTTTTGCGGGATACCGAAGCGTTTTTTTTTTTTTTTTAACGGAAAACTGCTATTCACCATTCCGTCTACTATTTTGAATAACGGAAAGCTTTATCAGCTCGATAATTAAATTTGGAAAAAATATAAAGAGGCAATGGTTCACATCATTGCCAAATTGTATGAGCAAGAGTATTTAACTTGGGATATTAATATAATAGTGTATAATACACTTCCCATTCTTTTAACACATTATAATGATAGTAGCCACAATGTTATCTTTTCGGAACAGTATATTAATTTATGGTTTTTCGTTTGTAAAAACATTTTAGCCTGAACAAAACTGATAAAAGCTGTAGAAAATTTATATGATACTCTTGTTCAGATTCTTACCAATAGACCCTTTGCAGAACACTCTCTATCCCTTCTTGAAAGCGTCTGTAAAAATTGCAATATCAAAGAAATCTGCACGAATATGATATCTACTATCACGTAATTTATTAATCCAGCATAACAAAACATTTGCTAACTCTTTAGATATTTTCATTACTGAATTGTTTTTTGCTTTTTACGAGCTAAGAACTTTTCTCACTCTACGATCTTTGTATAAAGTAAAGAGTATTGTATTGCTGGATATAGGCAGAAAACTAGTTTCCCCTACAATTTATAAAATTCTCTAATGGTCGGTCCATCTTTCTTGTACTGAAAATTATTTTATAATTTTTATAATTTTATATAAGAAAAGTATAAAAAGCTAATTTTTCTAGAAAACCAATAGTTTCCGAAAAAACTTAATACATAGTGTCTCATATGAATTGCCTATTAACAAAAAACATCTATGTATACGTCATATAAAAAAAAAAAAACTCTCCTTCATAGGAAAAAAATTAGTGACTTCGTCAGTTTTGTAAATACAAATGGGGCAACACTTACCCAAAAAACAGACAATTTGTATTCGTACAAAGAGTTCTTATATTTGAATATTTATTTATTTTTTGAATGTTTATTATTATTAGGTTTAGTCATTGTACACTTTGTTTTTGAATTTTCAATATAGATGTGATCTTTACGACACATCATCATCATCTGAATTAGGGCGTGGTTCAAAGCCCACTTGTACTGAAGCTCTAGGCTTATTGTACCCCTCACAGTTTCTATCCCATCAGATTGATTTTCTTGATGAATTCAAGAATATGTCTGATGGGCGCTTTCGCGATTTCTTCAGGTTCCGGATATTGTACCCCGAAGTACCATTCCCGTTCCCATTTAAGGTTCCGGCAGTGGCATAGTATGTGAATAGGAGTTTCGTCCTCCTCTTCACATATTCTGCATAGGGAGTCATCAGATATCCCTAAGAGATTTAGGTGTCTTCTAAGGTCGCAGTGTCCCGTAAGGAGTCCTATTACGGCCTTGAGTTCGCTTCTGCTAAGGTTTAGCAGTTGATATTGTCTGCTCGTGGATGGCCCCTCTATGAATCATTTGGACTGTCTAAGTCCAGGAAGTTCCATCCAGAGCCTATGGTGTTCTCTTTTTATTTGTTCCTGTAACACCCATTTAACATGTTGGTATGAGATACCACATGTGGGTTCTGGTCCAATAAGAGTTTTTCCAGCTCCCTTCCTTGCTAGGAGGTTTGCTTTCTCGTTTCCAAACACTCCCTCATGTCCTGGCACCCATTCAAGGGTAACCTTGTGATGTTCTGCCAGAGCCTGGAGGGATTGTTGGCAATCAAATATTGATTTAGATTGTACTTCTACCCTTTTTAGTGCTTTAAGGGCTGCCTGACTGTCTGTCATGATAACGATTCTCTTATCTCTAAGAGAGTCATTTAGCATGACTTTGGCGCAGGCATTTATTGCTGTTACTTCAGCCTGGAAGACTGTTGTCAGTGACCCCAGGTTCAAACTAATTGTCCTCCCTGAGTTCACATGGTAGATCCCAGCTCCTGTGCTGTTTTTCATTTTCGAACCGTCTGTATACCAGATTGATTCGTTTTGTTTTTTCCTTTTTTCCCGGCTTTTGGCCCTTTCTGGTATTTGAATATCAAAAGGTTTCCTGAAGTAGTGAGTAATGGGCGTTCTATCCAATGGCATTCTTAGTACCGGATTTTGTTTTAATTTCTCTAATATCATTGTGTGGTGTCCTTTTCTCGAAAGTTCCCATCCAAATCCATTAGTAAACAGCCTGTATGCCGCCGCCATAGCCTCCTTCTGTACCACAAGGTGTTTACGACACATAAACAAAGACTGAAGCAAAATGTTGAGATGAGGGGATTGGTGGAGAAGGGAATATATCAAGTAGTTCCAACTTTCAACTATGTGGTCGAATCGAAGCATATACAGGGGGGCGACATATATCTTATTTACGAGACGAGGCAGAAATATAATTATAAATATAAAGATGCAGTCATTCAAAAATGAGGACAGATACTTCAAGGTATGATTTTAACTGCAACTATTGAATACTTTAAAACGACAATTTCATTAGGATAGCTTTTTAAGTATTCATTTAGTGGTTTAAGGCATATTTGGATGAGCAACTTTAAACTGATCTTTGCGTTCATATATCTTACAATTTTATTCAGTGTACATATTAGAATGGTTGAAAATATAATACAATATAAAATATGTGAAAATATAAGAGAAAACATATTTAGGACTAACAGAAAGGAAAGCAATAGAATTGCATTTCAAAGAAAGTATAAGGGACAGGCTAAGAAACAAATGGTATGATGGGATTGGTCTTATTATGAATAAGGGAAATCGATATTAAAATAGTACAGAACAGAGCCAGATAAAGGAGAGGTATAATCCATGACAGACCAAAGAAAAAATGGTAAATATGAAGAATATTTGTTAGCATAAGTTAAAAATGGCAACACAATATTATGAGGACATATTTAAAGGGTATCTTTTATGAAGTCGAATAACAGTTTTTTTTTGATGGTTTTCTTAACGTTTTTATTTTATTAGTAAGATTAGATACAGAATCACCACAAATAACTGCAATAGAATGAGTTGAGAATAGCATAGTAAATATAGAATTTACCCCAGAAATTTGCAATAGTCTTAAACAAGATTAAAGTCCTGCAATAGATGAAATGCCACCCATTTTTCTTAAAAAAAAAAAAAAAATTCTAATAGCCTTCTTAATTTCAGTTATAAACGACTCTATGCAAAAACAGGAACTGCCAATGGATTGGAAACAGGCTATAGTCACTCCTATATATAAGAAAGGTGACAAAAAGAATCCCATAAACTACCATCCAGTCTTAGGAGCTGTATCAGTAAAACAATGGAAAAGATTATTACAAAAGAAGTAACAGAGTTTATGATGGAACACAGACTTTTACCAAGCAATCAGCATGGATTTATGCCAAAAAGCTCTGTTGTTACAAATCTTCTAAGGGCAGTTAACCAGTGGAGAGCTTGAAATGACAACAGAAGGCTGCTTAGCAAACTGAAACACTTTGGAATAAGAGGCAATCTATTATTGTGGATTAAGAGTTTCTTATTCAACCAGCAGTTCTGCGTAAGAATAAATGTACAGCTGTCAAACAACCATCCAGTTTAAAGTGGAGTACCACAAGGTTTGGTCTTGGGTCCCCTATTATTTATTTTATACACCAGCGATTTATGCAAAATCATCGAGTCGAAAGCCAACTTTTATGCAGACGAAGGAAAGATCTCACAAAATGAAACAAGACCTGAATAAAATAGGAATCTGGTTCCGGCAATGGCTCCTATCCATCAACATAAAGATGTGCACATTATTGCAAATTGGCCCAAATAATCTCCACACACAGTACACCGTAGATACAAACACAATAACTCCAGTTAAACCACAAAAGGATCTTGGTGTAATCATATCGAAACACACATTGCTAATATAGTGAAGAAAGTCAACCGTTTCATTTACCTTATCAAAAGAGCTTTTAAAGACCATTCCAAAGATATGATCCTCAAACTGTACACAACTTACACAAGACTAAAGATAGAATTGGCACAGACTGTTTGGGATCCATACTTTGTTAAAGACATGGAACTGCTGGAAAGAGTACTAAGGAGTCACCAAAATACCACCAACCTTACAAAACAATGAATATTCTGATTGGCTAGCCAAACTACAATTTTCAAGTTTAAAGGATAGAAGAACTAGAGGAGACTTGATAGAAACTTACAAATGGACCAGCAGATATTACACCTGTGATAACATCTTCCAGGACAGCACATCAAGAACCTTGAGAGGTCACTCGAAGAAATTAGATAAAGAAAAGTGTAATAAACTGCAAAGAAAATTTTTATTACAAACAGAACTGTTTATCTGTGGAATGATCTTCAGGAATATACAGTCTTAGCCCAGAACATAAACCAGTTCAACACAAGTGGATAAAGAACTCAAAAAAGGAAGAAATAATTTTATTTAGTTTATAGTATAATTAGGTTTTTAACTGTCATGTAGTAATTTAGAATAATTTTTGTCACTATGTAAAAGAGCAGCTTCATTGACTACATCACTTGCCTGTTCTTAATAATAATAATCATACATGGGTGCTATGTGCAACTGACAATACAGTAATTAAATAATGTTTTCAAATTCATTTATCATTTGTTTACCACTATAAAAATATAATTTATAAAGCAAATAATGGAGGAATTTGAGGAGGCATATCATACATATTTAAACTTTTTTTTTATTCAAAAAGAAAGTTTGTTTTCAGTTATGACGGGCATACACACTACAGTCTACCTGTACAGACCTGTGCAGGTGGCCTGCACAAGTTGACTCTGTGTATGTAGCAGGTTCTGGTCTAGTTTGCAAGCGCACCTGCACAGGCAGGCCTCTCCAGTAGACTCACAGCGTGTACGCCCGGCGTTGTTACCTATTGTGACTAAAAAACAGGCAAATAATTTTAATAAGAAAGCATATTTTTCAAATTCATACAATATTCAATAAAATCTAAATGAATTTTGATTCCCTACAATTACCAAACCAAACCTGGATAAAATAGTCTGCACTACTGAGGTTTATCTGTATTTACATAATATGTAATGTTTAAGAACTACACCTAAACTTAAATCCACTATATTTAAAATTATTGGATCAAAAAGAAAATAATATTAATAATGTAAATATTTTATGTTAAAATGCATATTGTGTTTTGCATGATATATTTTATATTATTGTAAATGTTTTTATAATGGAAATTCTACACACCTCTTTTTCTGGTCTTGATGCGTTGACCGGATAGAACTGGTTTTTCTACCTTTTGACTCATACAAAAATTTCTGTAAGAAAAAAAGTATTATTACACTAAATTGTTATTTATGCATAGTATTATTCGGTGTCCCATTTCTTGCAAATAACAGTTAAATACAAACACAATACTATATTATTAAAAATGCACAAGCTCAGCCAAAGTAGTTCTGCTATGAGCTGCCCGTGAAAATAATAAAAATACATTTAATACTATTTCAAATGTATTGTTAGTGACTTCAGGAACAGCAATTTTAGAGCTTATAATTTGGGTTTAACTTTAATTCTATTAGTTTTAACCAACACAGAATATATACCTAATTTTCTCAATTTATTGCATACAAATAAAATATATTTAGTCTATTATTTTCAATTTCTTATGTAGGTTGGAACTATTTAAAAATTTTATTTCAAAATCAGTTTCCTAATATAGGTGTACAACATCAAAAAAGAATCAAGCAGTTAATGTTTCAAAGTGTGAAATTATTTTCATACAACTGTTAGTAGCATTGTAGTATATGAGATAGACAGTTACAATAGAAGGAGCATTTTTTGATATTCTGCCAGAAGAAATTAACACATATTTTGGCTCTCGATTTGGTTTAAACTTTGGGATCAACAAATTATTTATACCACCAGAAGAAAGGACTGTAAAGATAGTTTTAGAATTAAAAAATGTGTTTGTTAATGGTTCCAGGTTACTAGGGCATTACTAAGGCAGCAATATTCTCATTAACAAAGGGAGAGCTGCATTATCTGTGTACTTCTTCTGTTGATTTATACTGTGATGCCAAAATTTGGATATTTTCAGTATATTAACAGAATATATTATGTGATTACGCTACTGTTATAGGTGTTATTATTGGGAACAATTTCAATTATCCACTTCAAATGACACAAACTAATAATACGATGCTTCATAATGGAAATTTGAATGGTATTAAAATCCTAAAATACCAATAATGATCCAAATTTACGAGGATATGATGAAAACATTCAGTCAACTCTTTGTGAAAACTGAAAAAAACATTTCAAAATATTGCTTCATTATTTAAAAAATAATGAATGCTGCTATAAGTAGCTATTGCATGTTGCAAGGTAAAACAATATCAATTTAACTAATTTCTTTAAATCATGTCCACTATTAGCTTTGATCAGCCTGTATTTTTAGGCTAATAAAAGAAGAGCATGTTTTACAGAGATAAATAAAAGTAACCATACTTTAAAATCTTAGATCTTGTACCTATAATTGAAAACTAAGAGGGTTAACATCAAATAAATTCATTCAACATGTTTAGTTATCACTAGAAATTTTGCAGGGTATATTGTCAACATTTTATTTTAAAATTAATTTATAAAAAAAATAAGAAAAGCAATGACTAAAGCAAATGACATAAAATTAACAAAGAATGAGTCACATTGATAAAAGGGGAAGTTAAAGGAGCAAGATACTATGTGGCGTATAACGGCACAAAGACCACGAAAGCAGGTCATCGACTTATCAAATACCGAACTTTGTATATTATTACTTAAAATATTTGTTTTTTTTTAATCATAATTTCCCGTTTTATTAAATAAAATCTAATATTGGGCGTATTTTCTAAGAAATATTCAAGGTGGAAGCCACAATTTACAAGGTCTGTATTATGAAATATTAACCGACTAGTACACGAAACCACAGCTTAATTTTACTAACATAACATAAGCCTATCTAATTTTTAAGTAAATAGCTGTACTTATTGGCTAAAAATCTAATTAACTTACGTGTAAACTATTTTTAAAGAAGCACACTTCACGAACTGAATAAGCACACTCTCAGAAAAGAGACTGGTGCTTTGGCTGCGCTGCAGTGATCAAAAACGAAATGGCAGAACCGGAATCGATATGTTTTCGAGACGCGGGAAATTTCAAAATTAAGGTAAGTTACTACTTCAAAGATTTTATAAAAAAAGAGAATGTAAATTAGTAATATACTGAAAATACTACTTCTCAAAAAGTACGCACGAGACACTTCAAAACAAAAAGAAATTTATGACTGAAATTTTGAAAGAAGTACGCTTGATCTGCTTCTTTCCCTAAAAATATTCCATGTCCGCCACAGAATTGTATTTATGTCCCTTGTGACAATTTTTTGTTGGGTTTTCCTTTCAGATGAAAATCTATACTGAAGGTGGGAAGTTCAAGTATAGTTGAAAAAGAGGAAGCAGTACTGTATCGATAAACATATATCAAGTTTTCTATCTAATAAATTAAATAATAGAAAAAAATTCCTCAGAATTAAGTACTCTCGATAGTCGGACCACGGATCCACGGAATGTCAAACCAGAATCACGGACTTTGACTGTTCTCGTCTAATCGGAGCCGGACTCGGACACAGGGCCGTCTTTCGAAAAATGAAGAATTACCGATTAACTTTTATTATGTAGTTTTGATTTTGATAAGATTTATAATTTACAATTTCATATTAAAAAAGAAAAATGATTTCAAATTAAAGAAGGAAAATAATTTCAAACTCAATTTCAAGCGTTCTACGTCACGTTTTCTACGGGCGTACTATGATAAGTTATATGATTTTTTTATTAATATCATGTTATTTTTAATTATTATTTTTATTGGAACATTTGTTTTGGCTACGTTTTAATCAAAGATCATTTTTAAGTAATTTTCTTAAATTAAAAGGTGTTGTAGTTGACTGTAATAAGTATTAAATTTAATTTTGGTGTTACCGTTTAGTGCATTTGGATACGCGCCTGTAGGCGCTACCCTGTCAAATATCACTTGGCTATGTGGCTCGAGTTTGTTGATCGGCTTTGAACCTTACCTAGTTTAATATATAATTCAGTGCCATAGAGTCGCATCTCAATCCTATTGACAAGCATTCTACCGCACTCCAGTTCATTGGAATAATTAGGCACTCGTAAACAAAATGGTTGCCTGTGGGTATTGATATGGCAACACTGTGGAACTGGTTTTAAATCAACCAGTTCCAGAAAACGGTGTTCGTATAGTAATACATTCCATGCTGGCTCATGAATATACAACAAGAAGACCAAGCAACGACTTCTCGTAGGGTGGCGGTGAAGACCAGAAAATATCAATCCATACCAGGTTACGCCCACCGGCATAGACTCGAACGGCCTGGACACAGCTCAAATTGAAATGAAGAGTCTCATAACTAACATATAACACATTTTATTCTCGTATTATCACCTGTGCAAATGTAAGCATGGAATGTGTTACTACGAATACAGCTCCCCGATTTGAGACGAGGGTCAATGATATAGATAGTTATATAAATTGATCGTCCTTGTTGCTCAAAATCAGAAAAATAAAATTATGCCTAAAGAAGTAGAGAGGGCAGAATGATAAAGTACTATCTGCGCATCAATCACGAGTATAAAAATTATGCACGATTCAACCTTCCACTTTTACACACGCAAATGACAAGTAGAGGTTGCCCTAATGCACTGTAAACAAATTCCAGGCTTGGCTTTCTACAGCTCTATTTTTTGTTTGTGTTGTGACGGTTGTAAGCTTTTTTGGCGTTGGTTCTTTGTTGGCTTTTTACTCAACCGATTCTGATTAATGAGTATTTGCGAGGCAATATGGCCTCGCAATGCGATTCTCTTTAAACAATCTATATAACTGTAATATCATTGACCCTGTCAAAGCCCACAGGCAGCAATTTTGGTAGATGGTTGGAATGCTTAATAGTCGAAGGCCAACATCCTAGAGCAAGAAGAAAAGTAGGTGTTCTGTGATTTTTTATTTGCAGGTTATATTTGACTTGATTTCGCTAAAAAAAATCTGTCTGAAATAAAAAATAAATATTGTTTATTGTTAATCAAAAGTAGGTGGGGAAATTCATAATATATTAAATACATAGACATATGCAATGATTTCAACTTCAAGAAGTTTATACAAAGTAGTTGTAAAGGTAATGAATAAAATAAAATAGATAATTTTTATACTGTATCTATTTTGTTTTTTAGCAAAAGTTTATTACTAACGTGGTTCGCAATGTACCTGTTAGACATAAATCTTATACCCCCATGAATACAGTTGTTATGTTTGTACCTCAGCAAGAAGTAAGTAGAGTTCCAGTTTAAAAATGTTTATTACAAAATTAGTTTTTAGGCATGGGTTGTGGAGCGAATGGGAAAATTTCATCGAATACTTGAACCAGGTTTAAATATATTAATTCCTATTGTAGATAGAGTGAAATATGTACAGAGCTTAAAAGAAATAGCTGTAGATATTCCGAAACAAAGTGCTATTACAGCAGATAATGTAACATTAAATATTGATGGTGTTCTATACTTAAGAATTATTGATCCGTACCTGGCTAGTTATGGAGTAGAAGATCCAGAATTTGCCATAACCCAATTAGCTCAAACTACAATGAGGTCTGAATTAGGTAAAATTTCTCTAGATAAAGTTTTTCGTGAAAGAGAAAATTTAAATGTATCAATTGTGGATTCAATCAATAAAGCTAGTGAAGCTTGGGGTATGACATGTCTAAGATATGAAATAAGAGATATAAAATTACCTCCCAGGGTTCAAGAAGCAATGCAGATGCAAGTTGAGGCTGAAAGAAAGAAAAGAGCTGCTATTTTAGAATCTGAGGGAGTTAGAGAAGCAGATATCAATGTTGCCGAAGGTAAAAGAAAATCTCGCATTTTAGCATCAGAAGCAGATAGACAAGAACAAATTAATAAAGCAGCTGGAGAAGCTGCTGCAATTTTGGCTGTAGCTGAAGCTAGATCTGGTGGTTTAAAACTTGTTGCTGAAGCTTTACAAAAAGATCTGGGACCTAACGCTGCTTCTCTAAGTATTGCAGAACAGTATGTCAGTGCATTTAATAAGTTAGCCAGAACAAATAATACATTGATTTTACCTGCTAATACTGGAGATGTTTCGAACTTAGTTTCACAAGTAAGTTTTTAGCTATATATGTGGCTTGGAAATACAATAAGCAAATGAACCTTGATCTATGATTATCACAGTATGTTTTGAATTATTATAAATATACAAAAATATTAAACTTAAGCAGATTACAATCATTTTCTTTAGATAAAATTAATCTACCTATACTAGTTTAATGCCGAGATGTCAGTGTGGAGGTATACTTTACTATCTAAATTTAACAGATTACAATAATTTTCATTTGATAAAATGAATCTAGGTAGGGGAGACATGGGATAGTCAATAACAGTTGTTTTTTATTTTTTTTTTTGTGACTTGTAAAACAACCGGAGTCATTCAGAGGAAGTCTAAGCAATAGAATTATTATCCTTTTTTCTTTAAAATTAAATTTTTATCAAAACTTTATTTGTAAAATAATAATAATAATAATAACTATAAAATGAAACCCAAACATAGAAACTGTCAAAACCTAGAAAAAACTTTTATTTTTAAAAGCACATAATTTAAATAGATCTTACAGACTAAAAAAGACTTTTTACAAAAACATATTTAAACGAATTTATAACCAATTAAAGCCCTATTTCATGTAACAAAATCATTAAATGTTTGTTTCAAATCTTAGGCATGTTCAAAAATATCTAAAATCATAGGAAACATAATACATTCTGTCACCTTTCATAACAATTGTTAGGTCAAGCGTTATCCCATTAATATGTCTTCACAATTTACGTAGTTTGCTTATTTGTGTCTACTACAGAGCAACCCTAAAATCAATATAGTAAAGATGGCAAAAAAACAGTGTAAATAAATATAAAAAATAAAAAAACATTTAAATTAATTTTAGCTAAAATAGCAGGACAGTCAATTAAGCCATTCGTGATTTTGTATAAAGAAGTCAAAGAAGCTATAATTCTCCGAAATTCAAGGCTATCCATGTTAAAATTATCAAAAAGTAGCTGATAATCGATTCCTCTTGGAGGGTAGACACCATTTACTTTGAAAGCTAAATATTTCAAATACTTCCTTTAAACAGATTCAACACTACTCATGTGAATATTATAGTAAGGATACCAGATAGTTGAACAGCACTCAAGCTTAGTGTGGATGTATGAATAGTATAATGTTTTTAATACTCCAATCTCCTTGATTCCACGACAGTTTGGTATAACAAAACCATACATTTTGTTTGCATCAGAAACATATTAATATACTCAAGAAAACTTTGGCTCGAGTCAAAAGTGGCACCTAGATCAGTGATAGAGGAACAACATGACAAAACTAAAACATTAATATTATAATAGAAATCTGTTGATCTTTTTCTGGTGTATATTATCACTTTACACTTATTTACATTTAGCATTAATCTATTTTCATGCATCAATCTGATAATCTAACTAGAATTGCTGAAGCGCTAAACAATTCTACATGTCTAGTCCTAATAGAAATATTTTTAAGTCATATGCATAAATAAGTCTACAAGAATTTAAATGGTGATTGTGATCATTACTAAATAACAAAAATAGCAACGGCCCAAGGTTTGAATCTTGAGGGACCCCTGATTTTGCGAAGTACACTTGTGAATAATAACCATTATGAAAAACAAATTTGCTGCCTTTCCAGAAGATATGATTTATAGAACCTCATTAATGCCTGAGAAAAACCAAACTGGTTCAATGTATCAATCAATATCCTATGATCCATTGTCAAATGCCTTCAAAAAATCTGTAATTTAGATTCACAGTTTTGTTACAAGGATTGTTTATGGTTATAATGCAGTATTGACTTAACATAAGGCTTTAAAACGCACAGAAGGATTTAGAGTTACATTAGGAAAGTATATTTGCATTCTTAATGCCAGTTATTATCAGTTTAATGTATTTTTCTAGTTGCAACTATCATAGTTGAAGGCAAGGTAGACGTAAACTAATTCATTCATAAAACGCATGCTCGCTTCTTAGATAAACAAGCTTGCACAAACCATCCCCACCCAAATAAGCAGCTGTCTACTTCTTTTTAATGCAGCAGCCAATGCGCCAGCTCTGTCTTTGTAATATAAAACACACTCTGAAGATTGCAATAAATAAAGGCTTAATTATGAATGAATGGGTTAATCCAGTAGTTTTTCGTCATTGTTCCCTACAGACCTGCTCAAGTATTCCTCTGCATGTTTCAATGTAACATCAATATTGTAGTCATCCTAACTTGAGCAAAACAAAAAATTACTAAAATACACCTCAATATCTAATTAATATGCTATAACAATTATTATCAGTTTTAAAAATACTAACCTTAAGCTAAAACAAACTGTCAAAAAAAAAAAATAAAAAAAAACTTTCTTGCCACTTGCCATCAAAACGAATAAATTTCAACTGTCAAAAAATGGCGGTAAATAACTGAACGTTGATGTTGCCAAAACGTTGATCTTGCCAAATCTACACAAATATTTAATTTTCAAGAAAAAAAAAAAATGAAAGATTTAAAGAATAAATAAGAGCTAAAAGCAAATGATCATGTATTATAGCAGGGACAGAAGTTGCAAATGCTTTTCTTCACAGTTCTACCACTTCATATACACAGAAATTGACAGTTTTGAGGCGGAGCTAACCGAAGTGGACGCGATACATTGGCGTACAAAATTATTTTATAGCTGTTGAAATTTTGTAGAATTATGATTTGGGATATAAATACATTGTTAGATTGTGCCAGTAACAATTTAAAATTACTTAAACTATGAAACACCACTGGCATATACATTACCGCAAAATTCTCGAAGTCGTCCGACGTGGTTTGCCGTTTACCCCCTCTCTACCTACCAAAAGCCTTTCAAAGTTCTGCCCCTGCTATACAGGTGATCAACTATACCAAGCCTCCATACTTTGTTTTTTTACTTATATGTTAGGCTGTAGGTATATGGCCAAGCTTTCGCTTATGGCTACCACTACCAAATTATTTCAGTGCTATATTAGGCCAGACTAAGGTGGAGAATTATTAAAAATTAATTGCTCAGAGAATACATTTTATGTTAATAACATTCTTCATCGGTTTGTAAACAAAAAAAAAACAAATTTCTAGAATCTCAGTTTTTCCTAAATAATTTGGAAACGGTCAAGTCAAGTGAAATCAAAATTTCTTTATTGTTGAAGAATTAATTACATTTTTATTAACAAAGATAGATAACATAATAAGAAAGTTAAAAATTAAAATTAAAGAAAAAGGAAAGAAACAAAATTTTCATAAATGAAATGAATTAAACTTTTTTAATATTCTAATTGGAAATATAAAATATAACGAACAAAAATGCATATGCACAACGCCAAGTACAAATATGACAATCAGAGAATATAATATACATAAATTAAAATGAACTACTCAATTCAACTGATCATAGAAAAATTCATCTAATTTATAGTAGGCCTAGTTTGTTAACTTGCTTTTTGAAGTCAGCACTTCTTATATTAGTTGGCATGTGGTTAAACTTCCCAATCAGAAGAGGGTATAGGCAAGGGAAGGTAAAAAATTCTTCAAATATTGCTAGAGGAAATAATATTACTTTTATATTTTTTAAAAACTAAAAGTATGGGTATGTGGGTAATTTTCACAACATATGGTTGGCTCCCTTCAATTGGTACTTCCTTATCTATATTTAACCACTTACAAGATAGAAATACTGTCCCCATTAGAAAGTATTAAATATTTATAATAAACCAATGCAGACTTATTTTACTTGCTACGTAGATGTGCATAAGTACCTTTCACGTAGCTTTTATCTTATTGTGGAAACTATTTAACTAAAATAAGTTTTTCATTCCAGGCTATGTCCATTTATTCAACTATCACTAGGTCACAGGAAACACATCCACAACAAACTATATCTTCATCTTCTAAACCTTTGGATAATTTGGCAGAATACTTTAGCGATGAGGATGTTAAGCCGCAAAAACAAAATGATGTATTACATGTTGATTCTTTTAAAAAAAATTAAATCAGTATAAAAGCTATTTTATATTATTCATGAGTTTTTTTTTTTATTTAGGAAAAATACGTACCCTTTCTCTATTGATTTTGAGTTAAAACTGTATTTTAGTTTTTCTCCATCTTTTACTTTGGCTCAAATATTTTAAAGATATTCAAATCAACATGAACCTATTATTCTTAACTTAGAACAATTTTAAAGAATAATGACGTATACGGAAACTAATTCAGATTAATAGCGTCACATTTCACAAAAATTAAGTGTATTAATACTTACATTTTCAGGAGACCGACTTATTCCAAGATATGTCACTGTTTCTGATAATACTGCATTAGTTTTGGTAAAATTTTCAAAAATATATCACTATTTCACACATTTCCTTGGATAATATAGATAAAATGAATGAATGACAATATTCTTGTTAAATCCATGTTAAAATTCAATTTTTAATAATGACACTATCGCTAACTTTTCGATTTTTGTTGAATTACAATATTATGACATTATTCTTGTAAAAGTTTATGCTGTTTTGGGTTAAATTTTAAATTCAATATTAAATTTTTTGGAATGTGTCACTATTCTGGAGAAGCGACATGTCTACTCTCGCCCATGGGATCCAGAAATTATCTTACATTGAATTAACACCAGTTTCACAATCTTTGTTAAATTAATATTTTTGTTGCAAATTTATCAAAACTTAAGGTGGTCGAAAAGAATGTATGTACGTTTACTGTAAAAAATTAAGTTATAGAATAAAGAAAATATTTATTTCAAAATAATATTCCATATATAATCTCAATATTCGTTATAATATAAACAATTAACATAAAGGTAAATAATAAAGACAGCTTTCTTTCGAGTACTTACTAGTACTAGTTTTTACTAATCAACGGTTTTTCTGAAGCACTATATGCACAATTATCAAATTGTCTAAGGTGTATCTAAAACAAAAGGAAGTGATTTTATAATCCTACATATTTTCAATATCTGTGCCTCAGAGGTAAACTGCACTATGTCATTCTAGTCAACTTTTCAGTAGAGCACTTTAAAAGTTTGAGTACTTTTTGGGCTCCATAATTACTTATTATTATATTTTGACAATAAATGCATTTAGACACTCATTTATTGTCACAATAATTATGTATTTTTTACTAACCCAACAAAACTTTCTTTTATTTTAATTTGCAGAAGTTAAGTTAAGTTACATATCGACATAGTGCAGTTTCCTTCCGAGGCACAGATATATTTTTCATTGGTTCACATTAAAATTAAAGAATAGATCCGATTTCAATGTAGTTTAAAAATTGTAAGGCACTGACCAGCACATTTATTATTGTATACTTAAAATAAAATTAAAAATGAATTTTTAGTAGTGAAGTGAAGAGCAGTGTTGTTCCGAGAAAATTTCTGATTGTGCCATTGGTCAAACAAAATTGTGCTATTTTTTCTTGACTGTGCCAAAGCGCAGTACATAGAACTGTCAGCTATCATTTATGTGTATTGAACTGTCAACTGTCACTTATGTGTGTTGAACTGTCAACTGTCACTTATGCATGTTAAACTGTCATAAGTCAAAATAAGTGAACTCAAATTTATTTGAGAACCCAAATGGTACATGTGTGGAAGATGTGAGCTTAATTTACCGAATGCAGTTAAAATTTGTAAAATACCAACGTAGCTTGAACTTATCAGTGTGACAAGAGCATGATATAAAATTGTGCCATTTTCTCTATTAAGGTGTGTGACGACATTGTGATCCCCCATATTTTTACCTTTAGTTTTGACTTACACGTCATTTCAGTTTAAGACTTTTAGGTCGATTTTATTTGAAATTATTCAAGTATCAAGGTCGGAACTATGAAAACTAGAGAGAAGGAGGCGAATCGGCAATGGTCAAATTTCAAATTTACGTCCTTTTTATAAAGTTCGCGAAATTGACTATAGTTGGCATGTCGAATAACAGTGGTGTCAATTTTCTATGTAAGTCAATGTAAAATAAAGTGATTTTTTAAAAGATTTGTGAAAAGAATCAAAATATTGTGAAAAAAAGTACTTGAATACAAGTAACATGAGTGACAAAAAACATCAAAGCAAGATTTACGTCGTTCCAGATTGTAAAACAGGATACAAATCAAGTGTAAAACTAAAGAAAACACAAGGATAAATCAATTCAATTTAAAGCTTCTAATGTAAGTAAAATAATGTATTTATGTCTAAATATAATATTTATTGTAAACTAGTCACAATATGTATCTTACGAAGTATAGTTTATTTTATTACAAGTTACTATAATATAAATTTTTAGTCATAGATCCTGACGTACAAACAACAAAAATTATACATTAAATTTAACTTACTAGAAAAGACATTTTTTTTATAGAGTTTTAAGCTAAAGACACACACGGCTGTTTTCGCCGAGTCGGCCGCCGCCTCGGCGGATGCTGTAATGTAAATAAATATGGAATTGTTCACACTATACTGCGCTGCGAGAAAGCGACGCTACACCGCCGCGCGTACCGTCGTTCGTCTCAAATGCATTACTTTTTTGTGAACCGCTTCGTGTGTTTTGGCAGAGGCGGCCCAGCCGAGTCGGCGGAAACAGCCGTGTGTCTTCAGCCTTAATGTTAGATAAAGGCTAAAGACACACACGGCTTTTTTCAACGAGTCGGTCGCCGCTTCGGCGGATGCTGTAATGTAAATAAATGGAGTTGTTAACACTATAAGGCTAAAGACACACACGACTGTTTCCGCCGAGTCGGCCGCCGACTCGACTGGTCGCCTCTGTCAAAACACACAAAGCGGTCCACAAAATTAATGCATTTGAGTCGATCGACGGTACGCGCGGCGGTGCAGCGTCGCTTTCTCGCAGCGCAGTATAGTGTGAACAACTCCATTTATTTACATTACAGCATCCGCCGAGGCGGCGGCCGACTCGGCGAAAACAGTCGTGTGTGTCTTTAGCCTAATGCGCTGCGAGAAAGCGACGCTACACCGCCGCGCGTACCGTTGTTCGACTCAAATGCATTACTTTTATGAACCGCTTCGTGTGTTTTGGCAGAGGCGGCCGACTCGGCGGAAACAGCCGTGTGTGTCTTTAGCCAAAGAGTTGCTACTGTTATTTTTTTGTTGAACCCCAATTGTGTCAAATGTTTTTATAGGATACTAAATGCTTAGAACAGTGGCAGCATATATATCATTCCTAGTGCTAATAAAGCACTTTCTAGAGATGAGATGCTGTTCTATACATTTTAGAAGATATCAAATATTATGAGACTATTTTTACTGATGGTACTGTTAGCAAAATAAAAAGGGGAAGCTGAAATTAAAGGATGAGGTAATACCATGTACATTCCCAAATCTCCCTTTATACTTGTATTACAACAATAAAAAAATCTGTTAACTGTGTTTTATTTTGTGCTTAACACTATATATAGGTTCAATTAAAAAAAAAAAAATTGACACAAAATTGTACTTTCAGCATTTAACAAACCTTTTCCAATTTGGTCATACCTACCTAATATGTATTTTATATAGATAAAATTAAATAATTTATCAATTAAACATACAATACTTATTTAGAAATAAATACAACAGTATTTTCCGTGGTTTATTTAGCTAAAAACAAGTTTATTTTTATTATTTTGAAAAAATTATGTATAATTCCCATTAGAAGTCATGTATTTTGAACACCGTAAGCAGTACCAGCGCCCATGCGGTTAATTATAAAAGCTCAATTAGCGTGCGTTTTTGGGACCGTATTTTGAGTATGCCGATTCGCCTCCTTATCTCTAGTCTTCATAGTCGAAACTTGTGTAATAATTATGTTAAGCCACATACTTCGTTAAGCCTTAAGCAGGTATGTCATAGTCAATGTCTTTTGAGGTGCATCCTGATTCCGTCGTGCCTTGACGACCATTGATAGGGAGATAGGGAAGAAAAAAGGAACATAAGAGATAAATAAAAAAATACTAAGAAGACAGACGACCGTTTTTTGCATGTGTACATTTTATTTTTAAACCAAATAACTATTTTTTATATTCCTCATAAGTCTAATTTCAATTCTACAATGTGCCATTGTGTATTTTATTTATAAAGTGTTCTACTTTTGATTCGAGTGCACCCAGGAACAACACTGGTGAAAAGCAATTACGTTTTTAAAACAATTTCTGTTATTAATATAACACTTTTCATATCAGAAAAAGTTTTATTACTATCATTCTAAATGTGAGAGAATTGAATTATAATATTTCTATCATACCTGTAAATGTAGATTCACTTCTCCGAAACGACTTAAGTAAGGAAAATTTCCACCAGATTTGAGATGAGCTAATTTGGCACTTGGGTAACATTTGTAAAGTTCCTCTCGAACAGAGTTCGATAAGGCAGATTCATCATAAACATCTATTATAGTAATTGGTAGATCTATAAGTTTGTGAACTTCCACATATCCTCTAAGGCAATTAAGTGTCAATCTACTAGCTAGTTCGGTTTGCGATAAACTTTCCAGCTAAAAAAGAAAAAGAGGGGTATTGACATTTCAATTAATAACTTTTTTGTTTTTCAAAATTTCATCATTTTGAAAAAACATTTAATAAATCTAAATTTGCTTTATATATTCGACACATTCCATTTTGACCTATCATACTAGGGAACTTTTATTAATTAATTTAACATTCACTACAGTTAATTTGATAACATGAAGTACTTACTCTTTCAACCATAAAGTCTATAGCTTCTACCATTTCTGGATCAACCTTTGAAGAACCAAAATTACCCATAATCATTTTTTTTAGTACTAAGGCAGGTAATATCCAAAACATGGCAGCTGAATCATGATTGTTAAATATTGAGGTATCTGTGAAGGTATTGCATAACATTAAGGAAGCCACCCGAGGACAATTGACTGTATATTCAGCGAATTTTTGAGCCAAATAACCACCTAAAAATAATTTTTTTTTTGTTTTGCAAATAAATGTCAACTAAAAAGTGGGAACTTAAAATATAATTAAAACAATCTATTTTTTTGATTTTCTATAATAATAATAAATCTTTATTGGTCCTTTTTGATCACTATACAATGATGTAGGATATGTCATATTTTGTTTTATTTCCAAAAATTGACCATGTATTTTGAACATTAAAATTGATTTTTCTCGAAAACGGTCGACTTTAGATCGTATGACCAAGAGTACCTTTTTTGTGTAGAAAACATCGGCGGTTCAAATGGGCGTCTCAAAACCGTACTTTTTCCAGTGGCGTAGAATTTTTTTTTTTTTTCAATTTCAATACCCTGTATCTCGAAAATGGTGCATTTTAGAGGGTAAGTTAATAGAAACGTTTTTTCATATTTTTGGACGAGCTATCACGTCCTGAAGTCCTGCGCATATATTATGAAACACTCTGTATATTACGTTACCTAGTAATAATCCTTAATATTATAAAAACATTTTGTTACTAAATTTTTTTTTAATGTTTGTTTAAAGCTGTTAATGGATTTTATGTTTTTAATATCATCTGGCAATTTATTAAATAATTGAATTCCTGCATACTCAGGACTATGTTCATAGAGAGCAGATACATGCCTAATTGTACGTAACATATTGCCATTACGAGTGGGATAGTTGTGACAATCATTGTCCCTGAAAAATTTAGCTTAATTTTTTTTTGTATATAAGATTGTCTTATAAATATATATTGAGGGTAGAGTGAGTATGTGATGTTTAATACAATGATCCCTGCATGTTTGTCTTGATTCCAGATTAAAGATAAGTCTAATTGCTATTTTTTGTGCAATAAATACTCTTGTAGCAGCAGGAGAATTTCCCCAGAGTGTAATATTGTATGATATGTGTGAATATACAATTGCATAATATACCTGTAGAAGTTGGTTAAATGTAAATATCTGTTTTAATTGAAGTAGAGCATAACAACCGCTATTAACCTTTTTACAGATGTAAATAATATTTGATTCCCAGCTCCTATCACTATCTAGCAGTACCCCCAGAAATTTTGTTTTTTGCGACAAGTAGATTTACCTTTACACATATATTATCATAAATTCTATTCCTTGAAAAAAACTGAAGAGCAACTGTTTTATCACAATTTAAGATTAAGGAATTTTTATTACACCAAGCTGAAAAATCTGAAGCTACTAAGTGAAGCTTCTTCTGCAGCTCATCTGGAGAAGTAGCATGAGATGCTAAAGTTGTATCGTCGGCATAAAGTATGGTATAATCTGCAGACACATGCTGGGGAAGATCATTTACATACAACAAAAATATTAGTGGTCCCAAAACTGAGCGTTGTGACTTTTCAATTCTGATTTACAGTTACTCACTTTTACACATATCTGACGTGAATCTAAATAAGAACTTAGCCATTTTAAAATTATGCCCCTGAAACCTAATGCATGTAATTTATTTTGAACAAGTGTCAAAAGCTTTGGACAAGTCAAAGAAGAGTGCACCCACATACTGCCCCTTATCTAGCTGTCGATATACGTAGTTGAAAAAAGCAGTAGTTGCACTCTCCGTTGACCTGTCTGGAAGAAAACCATGTTGATGTTCAGTTAAGATATTAATTTTTTTTAGAAAAGATAACATTTGTTGACTTACACATTTCTCAAAAACTTTACATATTATAGTGGGGATTGTAATAGGTCTGTAGTTATCTGCTGACAAGAGACACCCTTTTTTAAAAATTGGTGTCACAAGCCCAATTTTAAGAGCGTTTGGGAAGATTCCGAGTAATAAGGAATTATTGATTATATAAGCTAATTAATTCGCAATGTATGGGGAAATTGTCTTAATAATTTTAGTGGAAATGCAATCAATTCCTTCTGCATTGGTGTTATTTAGAGATGCAATTGTTTCTATAACTTGTTTATAATTCACTTCTATAAACTGAAATGTGTTTGGAACGAACATAGTGGTGTAATTAATAAAAGTAGTGTTGGAAAAATGATTTTTAATTGCATAACTAGCAATTGAAGAAAAGTAATCTACAAACATGTTGGCAATTTCTAAATTTTCTGTTAATCTTATACCATTAGCATCATATATTTCACTAAAATTAGCAATTTTTTGTTTTTGTTGAATATTTTTGTTTGCTAAATTTTCTTGAAAAAAATTGCTTTTTGCATTTATTAATTTTTTGTGCATACCTACCTCTTTTTTTCCATTTTGTATCGTTCCAATATATGACTATCAGAAACGTTTTTTGTAAGCCAATACATATTTTTTAAATTATTTCCCATTTTTACAATCTCATTATTTACCCACTTTGTATTACGTCTGTTTTCAAAGTAATTTTTATTTACCATTAGACAAGTCTGATTTACCTGGTAGGAAATTATGTTTAAAAATGTATTATAAATCTCATCAATATCCAATGGAGCTTCAAAAACAAGTGAGAAATCTTCCTGTGACATTTTCAAGGATAGACTACATAAATTTGTATATGAAGTATTTCTAAATGAAACAGTTTTCATGTTATTTTCTTTTTGATAATTCGAAGTGATTTAGCGTTATAGTAAGCCCATAGTGATCGCCTAAATAAAAGTCTTGTACTATTGCTTTGTAATCGTTACTACAATTTGTAAGAAAATAATCTATTTTTGATTTAGAAATTTTCCCATTTTTGTCAAGTGACACTCTGGTCAGTTCTACATTTTCACATTGTAAATTAAAACTTTCCATTTCATCCATTAACAGCTTATTTCACGACTTTTAATTAAAAAATTTATATTAAAATCTCCACATACCATTACAGTATCATAAGAATTGTACAGAACAGTTAAAACGCCACACATTTTATGTAAAAATAATTCAGTGGAACTGTCAGGCGATCTCTATATACATATTACACATTTTATATTATTTAGGCTAAATGTAAATCCACAACATTCAAACAGACACTCTTCAGAGAAACTTTTAATAAAAATTAGTTTTTTAAAATTTAAGGAATTTTTGACAAAAATAACAGTTCCTCCATGTATTTTAGTTTTGCGGTAATATCCGTCAGCTACAATAAAATCTTTAAAAACTATATTCTTTATCGATTCTTCATTACACCACGTTTCTGATACACAAAGTATTTCTGGACTTTCAAATTCTAAACAATTTGTTTTTTTAGTCATAGATTGAGCATTAACATAAATAATTTTAAATGTATTTGTTTTAGAGACATTAATTATGTTATTTGTTCAGAGCTTGACGAAAATTCTCATTATTTAATTCCCCAATTTGAGTACTATCTGTATTTGAACTAACAGAATCATTACAGTTAAGATAAGAGTTTTCAAGAAAATTTTCATCACAATCTCTTACAATTTGATGAAGACTTTCCGTTTCCATATCATCAGAGAGGATACTAATATTACTTAGAATAATAATGTTTTTGTTTTTTATAATATCGTTTCCGCCAGCGGCGGCCTGGTCCCCAATTTTAACAAAAACTAAATTATTTGGGCTCTTTTCTAAACATATTTTATTTTTAAGTAAAAACGACAATTTAAAATTATTTATTTTATACCCTTTCTCATTACTAACATTAAAAAATGAAAAATAATTTTGTTGGTACCAATCGACGTAATTTAAGAAATCTTCTAGTTTAGAATTAAATTTAATAGTCTGATTGATATTTGTCTTAAGAGGTATCGATAAAAATATAATATTTGTATGAGTACATTGTTTTAAATTATAATTAATACTCCTGATGCTAGGATACCTATTTTTGAGAATGTCGTTTTTTTCTCCCAAAATAATTACATAATCATTCAAGGTAAATGTTCTTGTGAGATTTAGAATGTCTTCTATTACTTTATCAAGTTGTGCCCCTGGTTTTAAAATAATCTCGACAGATGTATTATCTTCACCAAATTGTTTTCTCAGTTCCCTGTCCAAACCTCTTCCATTAAATTAATGGAATACTACATAGTTAGCTACCACACTTGAAGAGTGATTCATCTTCTACTACCTTAGAATGCGAGGGTAGCTAGGGGCAAGCAGCCTACCTCCAAACTAAACCTTGCTTATCTTTAAAAGACTCTATCTAGGCCTGGCATCTACAGGTTCTACATACCATATGTAATTTAAACTGTAGATTAAGTAATTGTAATATTTTATAAAGTTCATAATCATTATTATAATACCTACCTAAAATAATGTTTGAACTTATTACCTAAAGAACATCCAAAAATGTGAACCTTTTCTAAGTCCAAATAGTCAAGTAGTTTTTTGAAACCTTCACACCATTCACGTACATTCCAGTAGACTGGAGATTCTGCTGAAATAACTCGTACTCCCTTTGCTGACAAAGTAAGAGCTTGTTTAAAAAATATATCAGCAGTACCAGATACTGGAGGTAAACAAATCAAGGGACATCGAACAGACTTTGGACCACAATCGTAGATTCGCCAACCCTATAAAATTAACACCTTTTAGTTTATCATGATTTATTTGATGAGTAAGGACTATTTATTCAAAAAATTCATTATTACAAAATGATTAATTTTCTGTATTAGTAACAAACTTGTACTTACCTTGGAATTATCAGAATCTACTACTATCCGTTTTAAAGGAACGTTGCTTCTAAAACTTAAATATTCTTGAGATTGGCTCAAATCACTAACATAACTCATTATTTATTTTGATAGTTTAGAAATTCATGTAACTAATCTTAGTTAAAAAAAGGTATCTTTGGTTGCGCTTAAAGTATTAACAAATCTTTGTAAAAAGAATTCTTCATGTTAAATTATCACAAATATTTTTTATCATTAATAAATTGCAAAATAAAATTTAACATAACCTATTTTAAAATAAAACAAAAGTGTTTGACAGTTTAGGGTTTGACAACAGCCGTGTGACAGTGACCCGGACAGGGAACATGATCGAATGACAGGGAGAGGGAAGGTGAACCAATCATATACAGTTATAGAGATTGCTCACGGATCGCACTCACGGTTTATAAACTACTACGGTGACCTCTACTCGTTGACGAAGAAGGAATATATACTTTTTTTAATTTGGTGTTATCGGCATCAATTACTAAGGTTATTAGCCTCCTGTTTTATGTAGGCTTTGTTAATTTTTTCCAGCATTACTCAAGGAACAGCACTGTTAATTAGAACCCAACAGTGAATGGTCAAGTGGGGAATTCTACCTATGCATTAGAATTAATATTTAATTTATTAAAGGCCGATTCCACCGTTGTGTTAAATGAAGATTAACATGACATTATTACATTAAGGGCCGATTCCACCGTTATGTTAAACGGAGATTAAAATGACATTGTTAATGTAAAAATGTCATTTTAAACTTCGTTTAACACAACGGTGGAATCGGTCCTAACAATGTCATTTTAATCTTCGTTTACTAATTCAAACTTCATTTAACACAACGGTGGAATCAGCTCTTACAAATATATAACCAAGGGCTGATTCCACCCCAGACAACACACCAAATCCCAGAGATATCCACAGAATATCTTTTGTGGATATCTAATATATCCACAGGATATCAAAAATATATCCCATTGATCTAATATGGATATCCAAATGTCCGTCTATATCCAAGATATAGAAGATATTCTATGGATATCCAGCAAAATATCTAATAGGTACCTTCAGTAGAGGTTCATAAGTAACCAATGGATATATCCTATAGATGTTTAACATATCCAGTGTACATCCATTATTTGATATATTTAAGATATCGAAAATTATATGTCTATAGGGTGTCATAATGGCGTAATTTTTTAATAATTTCTGATGGAATTATTATAATTTATGGACATTTTGCATGTCTATAAATTACATCTCATAGTTATAAAATAGATATCCACCATGGACTGGACATTCAGTAGATATTGGGGTTTTCAGTAGACATCCAAAGGATTTGGTGTGCTGTCTGGGACCGTTGATGATGGAAGCAAATCTAAATTAATAATCCAGTGTCACAACTGCCAACAGTGGGGACACACTACCGCAAACTGTGGCAGGCCGGCTAGGTGCCTTAAATGTGATGGAGACCACCACAAGTACATGTACTAAAACTCGAGAAACGCCAGCGACTTGTGCAAATTGTAAGGGTGAACTACACAAAGTGTTCCAGTTATCTTGCCAGGCTCGAGAGATTAGAGGAAAGAATGCCAAAAATACAAAATAAATTAGTCCCCAACAAGGCACTAAGACACTAAAGAAATCAAAAATGTTTTTATCTCAATTTATGATAATATAATCAATAATGTTATCGAAATTTATGTTCGTTGATAAAATGACCTATTCCTATTGTGACAGAAAACATCTATTTTTGAAATCAAATAGCTATTCAATTAGCGTTAATTATTAAATATAATAAAATCAATAGATTAGTTAATTCTGTGTGCAACATGCAATACCATGAATACCCGTATAAAGTATAAACTTGTCGATTTTTCCTGTCCAGACTCGAATACTGTACGGACGACGAGTAAGTTTCAAATTAGATCTTGTTGATTTTTCTTGTCCAGACTTGAATACTCTATGAACTACGTTTTTCCTGTCCAGACTCGAATATTGTACGACGAGTAAGTTTCATATTAGATCTTGTCGATTTTTCCTGTCCAGATTTGAAGACTCATCTACGAACCACGAGTATAAATAAAACTGCAGGAGGCGTCGTAATCCAAATAGTTAATATTTTCTTCGGCTACGTGAAGGTCAAAAACCAAGACGCAAAGTTATTCGACGGAGTGCTTTATATTTTGTGTTAATTGTGTTGTAATTAAATTTTATGAAATGGTAAGTACCTACCCACATAATACCCGATTCGCCTATTTCCATTTCGCCTGACCAATTAAAATTTCTCGATTCGCCTGACAAGCTCAAATTGTGGTATCGTTTCGCCTGACCATAAGTTGGATGGTGCGTGCTTTTTTTATTTGATTTATAAGCACAGCTTATTTATATGATATGAATAAGCTTATTTATATGATATGAATAAGCTGTGTTATAAGAATGATTTGATTTGAAACAAAAAAAAACTGCATTTATTGACATTATTAAGCGTTTTGTACCAGTGTTTTTAAATCAATTATTTTTAAATTTTCTAAACCATCTTGATAATTTTTCCTTTAAATCTTTTTTCATAGAAGTTCTTTTCTAAAGTAATGTATAGTTTAAATTATTACTGGAGGAATTTTAGCTTTTAAATATATTTTTTTGTCCTGGCCGGTTATTGGGACACAAAAAATTTCTAAATTCAAATAGTTTATTCGTTTTACGCTTCGTCAATTTGAAAAAATGTTTAGTTTTTATTTTACTAACTTTTTACTATACTGGGTGCTCTATATTTTTTGTTTATATCAAATTAAATAACTATAACATTTTAATTTAATTTTATGTTCATTTCTTATTATTATTCATTTGTTAGTAATAGATTTCTTTACAGCAAATACATATTTATTACCTGAGCAGGTCAGGAGAATCGCAACTATTTTTTTCCGTTTAAGGGCGGCATCTGGCCATATCTCGAAAAGTGTTTATCTGAAAAATTTGGCAATTTTTTCTTACAAAATCTTTGAACGAAAATATTTAAAAATGATTTTACCTTTGTAACTTTTCGCTATGTCACGTGATATACCACATAATTGTATTTTCATAAAAAAAATCTATATGATTTTAAACCAAGCTTTCAAAAAAACTGAACAATATTTTGAAGTGTGATGTGTTTCATTATTTTTCTGTGTTGGTTATACGGGTTGTACGGAAAGACAACATGTAAATATGTTTAGTTTTAAAGAAAATTCCTAGGTAAGGTAAGCGATTATATGTGGTTTAGATACCAGAAGTCAGAGTCATTTTTAGAGTACTTTAGTACAACTTCGTTTCTTAAGAAATCTTTATAACGCCTAGTCACACTTTATGAACGGTTTTCACCATTAAAATTAATGCCAGGCAGTATATTTTTCTCGAAAGCTTGGTTTAAAGTCAACCGCACATATACGGCAGATTTCTATGGCCGAACGCCAACCTTAACTGTAGTCAGGCAAAACCTTTGGCAAAACGCTACCAAAGCGTACCAAATTTTTATGTCAGGCGAAACGGGAATATACCTTCGACTTACTACAAAAGTAATTCAATACTTTTCACATCTGAAAATCGGGAAATGTGATTTTTTTCCTGTGTGGCAAATTAGGTCTAAAAAATATGTTTATTATTTTTTCTGTTAAAGTGCACTAAAACCTGAATTACCCTCAATATTAAATGTCTTTACCAATTTTTGATCTAGTATTCCTTAATTTTTAGGAGCCGCAGAAGAGAAAACGACCTTCTGGTGCAAAATTTCGAGAGCAAAAAAGTTTCCAACACTGAAACGATAGAGGAAGGTGAAAATACAGTGAACAACATGTGAACCATCAACATCATCATCACATATCGAAAATATATTCTCTATAAGTATATGCGCGGCGAACATACTGGTTTACAAAAACGCATACTCGATGCTAATCCAAGGGCATTTTTTGTGCTATGTGCTGCACACAGCTTACATTTAGCAGTAAATGATGCTGCTAAAGTTTCAAATGAAACAGTTAACTTTTTTAATATTGTACAAGAACTTTATGTATTTTTCTCTTCATCCACAAAAAGGTGGGATATTATAAAAAAGCATGCCCCGAAGTTAAATCTAAAACCCCTAAGGGTCGATTCCACCGTTGTGTTAAACGGAGATTAAAATGACATTGTTAATGTAAAAATGTCACTTTAAGAAGATATCCGCTGCATATATGTTGCCAATTGTTATTATACCATTTAAATGAAATACGAGTATTGTAAATAAAGGAATTTTGTAAGTACTTTAAATATTTTATTTTTTTCTAAATTGATTTACGTGCTGAGAGTAGACTAAATAGCACCCCCATTATGGTATTTACATTTAAATTATCTACAATGCTATTAGTGATATAACGATTTTCGCTTGAGTGCGCACGATTCCCCCACTCTCCCTTAAAACTTTAAAAACGTACTTTATAAGAAAGAACAACAGATTGGGGTTTCATTATTTATTTACAAATAATAACCATTTACCTATTTACAAGTGATACCATTTATGTTTTGAACATCAAATCTGGGATTATATGGATTATAATTGTACTCATAAGAATTGAAATATATTAACATGCCAGATAGAAAAGAACAACTGAAACTATTGTTATTTATAGTAATCCGTTTTAAATAAGGAAAATAACGGTTTATGTTATTATATATTAAATTATCACCTATATTCGTATTATCCAAATAAAGCGATCTTATATTTTTTAATGAAACCAAATTGGTAATTTGTCCAGAATATGAGAATAAATTAGTATTACTAGAAATATTGAGACTTAATAAATTTTCTAGTCCATCTAATTGTCCATATGATAAGCTGCTTATTGAATTTCTGTCTAATCTTAACTCTTCTAAGTTTTTTGTGTAATTAAATGTTTGAAAACTGATAGTTGTCAATGAATTACCATTTAAAAATAATTCTCTTAAATTTTCAAATGGTTTAAATATATCCGCGTTCAAAGAAGTAATAGAATTATCAAAAAGATACAAGTTTTCAATTGAGTTTGGAAGTGAATCATGTGAGTTAACTAAATTACGTATGGTTGGTGAACAACTAACATTTAGAGTCCTTAATTTTGACAAATAATTTATGTCTGATAAATTAAATGTTTCAAACGAATTTCTCGACAAATCTAAAATAACAAGAGATGATTTTAAGGGTGCAAAAGTATCTATATTAATAGAATTTAAATCATTTCCATCTAAATATAATTCTTCTAAACTAGAAAGTCCAGAAAATGTTTCATCATCGATTTGATTAATTTTAGTATCAGATAGTTTGAGAATTTTTAAACTATTTAATTCTTTAAAAACATTTGCTTCCAAAATTTCTTTATTTTTAAATAATATTGAAGCATCTAAATTTAACAAACTAAATAAACCAGCGAGTGCATTTGATTCAATTGAAGAAATAGTGGAATTATTAATAAGTAATTGTGTTAAACCGTAACTTCCTAGTAAACAATTATTTTTCATTTCGTCTATTTGAGAGTCTACTAAACGTAGATTTTTTAAATTAACATTTGAAATCGTTCTTTCCTCTAATACTCCATTAAATTGCAAAATTAAGGTTGTTATTACAACTGTATCGTCTAAATGAACTGGTTCTGATATTCCATTCAAGTACATGTTCTGCGATTTTATATTTTTAAAGACATTGGGTTGAATTCCTGTAAAATTATTGTTTCTCAAGTCTATCGACTGCAAATTTTGAAGATATGAAAAAGCAAACGGTTCTAAATTATTAATACTAAGGTTTGACATATTTAAATTGTTCAAATTATTTAAATTTCGAAAAGCACCTGTTCGTATCTCTACTATTTTATTGTTACTTAAGTTTAATTCCGTTAAGGGTAAATTTGTAAACGTGTTATTATCCAATACAGTTAAATAATTGTTACTTAAATCAATAATGTTTATGCTACTCATATTATAGAAAACGTCGTTTTCTAAAGTGGTTAAACCAATATTCGACAGATTTAATAAACGTAGCTTATATAAACCGTCAAATGCTTTTGATTTTATATATCTAATATCGTTTCCTTGCAAATATAAATTTTGTATATTTAAATTTACAAAAGTATCAGATTCTAAATGTTTTAATCGGTTAAATGATAAATTTATTGTGATTAAAGAATTTAAGCTTGAAAATGCATATTCTCCGATATTTTCTATTATATTATTTGACAAATCCAATGTTTTCAACGAACTTAAATTCTCAAAAGCCTTACTGTCAATAGTGGATATTTTATTTTTAGTCAGTATTAATGTTTCTAAATTATTTATGTGTTTAAAATCATCGGAACCAATATGGGTTATAATATTTTCATTTAAATCCAAAAATCTTAATGAGTTACAATTTTGAAATAATTCAGATTTTAATTGTGTTATGAAATTCATTGATAAATCAAGGCTAGTAAGCTTTTTTAATGTTTCACATAAAGCTACAGTTTCTTCAAGTATATTTCTCGATAAATTTAACGAAAAACTATAACTGAATCTACTAGAACTATCAAAAACTTCCTTTGTTATATTTATTATTCCAGAATTTGACAAATCTAATGTGTCTATAGAAGAACCTGAAAATAATGGTTTATTTAAAATATTAAGATTATTATAACTCAAGTTTAATTTTCCGATCTCCATATTTTGAAAATAATTTTCGGAAATATCTGACAAGTTTGTTCTTGAAAAATCAATATCAGAAGAACCGTATAATTGTAAATTTAATTTTTTCTCATCGTTTAAGGACCCTAAAAATGTATTAGTTACACTAAAAATAGAATTATGAGATAATGAATTGTTCGGTATAAAATTTGAGTAAAATTCCTTAATACTCAAATCGTTATTCGAATTTATAGATGAAATATTATTTCCCACTATAGCGAGAACGTTTTTATTATTTGTAATTTCAATATTTTCTAGTAAATTAAAGCTAAGATTTAATGATTTAAAATCAGAATTTAAGTTGGTTTCATTAAAGTTTGTAAGCTTATTATAACTCAAATTAATAGAATTTAAAGTAACTGAATGTATGGCTGGTAGAATAGAAGAGATTTCATTTTTACTTAAATCTAAATGTTTAAAATAATTATCAAGACCATAAATTTGGCTTAGATCTAATTGTTCTAAACTATTTTGACTCAAAATTATTGTTCTTATTGAATCCGGCAAAGTTTTTGTGAATTTTAAATCTTTCAAATTATTTTGACTTAAATCTAATGTGTCTAATCTGGTCAACACTTGAAAAGCTCCATCGCTAATCTGTTGAATAGAGGAATTGCGTATAGAAAGATAGCTTACATAAGAACTCTTGAAATTGGGAAACTCTTCAATTGTAACGTAGTTAGAATTTGTAATGATGACATGCCTGATCAAATTTATTGTACTTCGGTGTTTAAATAATTCATAAAGAAATTCGTCTTGAGTGATGCCATTGCAACTGAACGTATCCGTATCATCAGAGTATTGACAAGTTCCACATAAGACCAAGGTAGGAACGCAAAGAATAATAAGGCTTATGAGTTTCTGTAAAATAAAAATAATTTTATTATAGTTTCAGTGCAATGTAAAAGTTATTACATTGAAAAGAAAACAGCTACATCATAATCAATACGCAATACCCAGACAGCACACGACATCTTAAAGACGTCTGTTTTATGTCGTAGTTATGACTGATCGCCTAAAGACCAAAAAAAGATGTTTTAAAGACGTCTTCATAAAGACATCTTTTAGGACACATATATAGACATCTTAAAGACGTATTTTAAATACATATCTAAACTCCTGGACAAATTAACGCACCACTTTAATTAATCTAAATATTTACAATATAAACACAACATAAAACTAAGTTACATTGAAATAATGATGAACACCTACAGGTGTAAATTAAAAATTTAAAAAAACCGACTTCAAAAACATGTAGATGCCATCACAACATTTTAACCAAATTTATATGGGATCACCCCTGAGGTACCCCCTTTCTAACAAAAAAAGAATCATATAAATCGGACAAGGTAGTAAAGCATTATCGCTAAACATACATAAAAAATGAAGAGTTTGAGGATTTTCTCATGGACCCAATTTTTATTGAAATTGGACACCGTGTTAAAGAATTATCGCTGAACATACATAAAAAAAAATATCGCGACGAATTGATAACCTCCTCCTTTTTTGAAGTCGGTTAAAAAATTAGTCGAATATGACCTTTAAACGACCTTAATTTGCCTTATTTTTCCATAAAAATTTGTTTTTGCTGGAAATGCATAAATAAGCTAGCATAACAACAAATTGAAAAAAGAAAAAAATCAGTAAAAGAGAATTAATGCATCTGGGTCAACCCTAATACCGCGTAGACCCTCCTCCACTTATTATCACTATATTCATGCGTCGCGGCATGCTTGATATCAAATGTTCAACAAAAGCTTGCGGTATATTATCCCATTCTTCAATAGCGACCTCTGTGAGTTGGTTGTGATTAGAAACAGGGGGTCTATGACCTCGAATCCTCTTTTTGAGATAGTTCCATAGATGTTCTATAGGATTCATATCCGGACTGTTAGGTGGCCACTCTAATAAAGGAATATTAACATCATGTAAATAACCAATAACCTGTCTAGCCACGTGGGGACGAGCGTTGTCCTGCATGAATAAAAAATTGGGCCCAACAAACGGAGAAAAGGCATTACATGTTCGACAATAATGTTGTCTAAGTAATATTGGGCATTCACAGACCTCGTACGTATAGGGACCAACTCCGTACGAGCATCGAAGCAAATTCTCTGGAGTCCATCTGGAGCTTTAAGGCTAACTCTAGTTTCATCGGAGAACAGAACCCGTTTCCAGTCATTGATAATCCAATTCTGATGTAGTCTTGCAAAATTTAATCTCTGAACTTTGTGTTCTCTGGTAAGCAAGGGTTTTTTGGCTGGTCTTCTGTGGCTTAGTCCTGCTTCATGTATGTAAACGTCTTCTAACCGTTCGAGACGATATAGCGATATTTCGAACATCTGCTAATTCATTTTTAAGCAGATTGCTGATTACTCTCCTGTCTCTAAGAGCACGTTGTCTCAAAAAACGATCATCAATTTGATTAGTGAAACGTTTTCGCCCTTGTCCTGGTCTTCGACGGTACGAACCCGTTTCATTATGTCGCCTCACTATCAGTGGCACTTTGCCCATAAGGGCACTTGGGCACGTGCCCTAGTATAATAAACAAAAAAAAATAACTTACCTATTTTATATTTTCCTCAATGCCTATTATTATTTTATCTAATATTCAGCGCAACCCGTGTTGGCACGACACTGGACGACCGCGCGTTGAGCGACAAGGATAACGACAATATCGCTTAGCAAGAGATGAACACATGCGATTGGTTATACGTCACAGGCAGGGCGCTGTCCTCATCGTGACGTGCTGTACCCATGGCACAGATTACCTAGACCCACATTACCATACGGTGCAAGAGAGAGAGGTCCGACACGCCCAACATAGGGCGCGGCCATTTTGATTCCTATGCCACATTTTATAGCTAAAGAATCAGATCGCTCACTCTGCGTCGGCACTTTTGATCTCAATGTTCCAGTTTATACACTGCGCAACTCGGATAATACAATATATGACAACCGCCTATAATTAAACAGCAGTCTTCTGCGTATCCTGAATTTGTATCCCTGGAGTGGATGTTATTTTGGAACTTTAAACTGGTCCGAGTGAGCTAACTGATTCTTTAGCAATAAACTGTGACTCCAAAAATAATATTCACTGACATTGACGGCAGCAAGCAAAATATTAGATGCGTTTTAATCATCCGCTTCTGCTTCCGGAATTGTCGGTTTAGGGTGAGATTACAGAACGTCTGCAACTTTGCAGATCTGCAAATGTGGCGGCAATTTTGAAAATCTGCAAATATGACTGACTTACACATGCAAGTATCAAGTTTTCGTATTCCAAATTTGGGTTTAGTGTTGTTGGGGGTAATAAACCACAATAAATATTGCGAATTTGCAGATATTTTTTGGAATACTTACATTTGTAAGTCCGCCATATTTGCAAAGTTGCAGATGCAAAGTTGCAGATGCAAAGTTGCAGATGCAAAGTTGCAGATGCAAAGTTGCAGATGCAAAGTTGCAGACGTTCTGTAATATCACCCTTAGTCGTTTTAACCTGTCAGATTAAAACAAGAAAACCGACTGTTAGGTGGCCACTCTAGGGGATGATTAAAACGCACCTATTAAAAATATTGCGCCAAGATGTAGGCAACACGTAATAAGGGATCAAAATGGCAGAGTGCCTAGACCAGATACGAATGTACGCAGCGGCATCTTTACCGGCTCCCTCATAAAGACGATGCCGGCTTCGGCTTAAGGTGCGCGTTTGTTGGACCATGATAATAATAATAATAATAATAATAATAATAATAATAATAATAATAATAATAATAATAATAATAATAATAATAATAATAATAATAATAATAATAATAATAATAATAATAATAATAATAATAATAATAATTTATTTATTGTTATTACGAAACCATTGGAATAGTTAAGAAATAAAACTACAAAGAAAAATATGAAGAAAAAAAAAACAAATAATATTTATAAATGGGACAAAATTTTAATTTTTCTTTTGGTTTTGTCTGACTTTTTCGAGGATTTCAAATCTCTGTTTGCATATTTAAGAGTATAAAAAATTCTGAGTCTTATAAATAATTTAATGGTGTACACTTTAGCAAATTGTTGGCAAGGATGACCAAATTCTATTTTGCTCATCTCAAAAGGTATGCGTTGGAAATTCCAGGCTTAGTTGACAAACTATCAAATAAAGATATAAATATTTTTTCTAATTTGAAAAGATAAAAGAGACGATGGGAGATTTTAAATTGCCAAACACCTTTTCTTCAGAGTCGTATGCTTTAAAATGCGTTAACAAGTTAGAATTGTTAAGTAAATTGAATTATTCTGAGAAATTTGCGCAAATTTCGCAAGAGTGGATATGTAATGATTTTTTGATTAAATAGACACATACATAGTTAAATGCATTTTGAGTGGTCACATTTAGCTCCTTTTAGTCACATTCAGAAATCGTTATTGCCCCAACTGATTGTTTTGAAATATATTTAATTTTCATTAAGCGGAGAACTTGTTTTCCTAAGGGAAAAACGAATTCCGGGATTCCTTTCCAGTGTGTGCCCCACTGCCGCTAGTGCCCACGAGCCGCCACTGCTCACTATGCGACTGATGCTGGAATGATGTCTTCCTAACAAACCAGCAACATATCGCATTGAATATCCTTCAGGAGAGTCGATGCTCGCACTGCCTCCTCCAGTGACAGATTTCTTTGACGGTTCATTTTTTTACTTGATATTCTCCCAAATGAACTTCCAAACATGCATGTAATAAAAACAATTACAATCAACAGCTTGCTTCTAACAGAAACTTTGCTTTAATCAGCACTTTTTAAGAAAATGTTAACACAGTTTTAGTCTAAAACGAGGTTTAATACGAATTACTGTCAAAACAAGGTATTACGTGACACTACCTAGCTTAAAAAACAACTGTCATTGTCAAACAATGTCCATGGCCTACTTGTCGTACAGTAAGCTATCAACAAATAAAGATTATCGAGCAAAATATAAGTGGTGCGTTAATTTTGTCCAGGAATTATTTAAACAAATATAAAAAATGGTAACATTAAAAAAACAAATGGCTTACTTGTCGTTTCTAATTTCCCAAAATATATATTTATTTTTGAATTGTTTTTTTTATTAATTTACATAATATACTTCTATTTTTATTTATTTACGAGCATTTGTTCATTAGTGTAAGTAAATATTTGATAACGTAAAAATAATAATAATAATAATCATAAATATAACTCTAAATAAAATTAACAATTAAAACATATTAAGCCAAATTGAATTACGCGTTCTTTTAACTTAATCGGAACTTGGTTCAACTTTCGAAGCGAACGTTTTTATTATGCTTTGTCTTCTTTCAACAGTAGAATTTAAATAAGGACGTGTATCTGAATGTAAGTAATATTGGCGTTTCGTGGCGTTTCGCGTTGTCATTTCGTTGTCATTTGTTGTTGATGTTGAAGATAAAAGCCGAGATGTTTGTTTTTGTTCGTTATTCGTTGATTTTTTTATTTGTTTTGTGCCGTGGATTACTGTGAATTTATAAGCATAAAAGTTTACTGCATATACCAAATAAAAGAGTCATTATTAGTGTTTTAAGTACGTCTAGGCGTCTAGAGCTGACTTAAAAGCTTCATAGGATGTAAATATATCTGAATTAGAGTTTGAAGTACAGGAAGATTGCAGTTCTTTGACCACCCTTATAACTCACACTATCTACTGAAAAATCTTTCAAAGAGAATTTGACAGAGTGAGCTTATAATGCATAATATTTCACATAGCGCAGTTGAAATTATTGCAACCCAGACTGGCTCAGAAGAGCATCAGACAGAAAATTAACCACTGATGGCGGAAGAATACAAAAAAAACTGAATTTATAATATTTTTTTTTTAACGAAATGTTTCAGTGTTTTATTAATAATAATGTTTATAGAAAATATGTTAGTTTTATTTTGTATAGAAGGAAATTACAGAAGCTTTTAAAACTGAATCCGTACGTCTTATTATACCAATGTCGAAAAACAGACATATTCAAGATTTCTTAAGAACGTTACCTTTTGTAACATCAGACGTCTTAAAGATGTCTTTAAGACGTCTGACCGGCGTCATAAGTCTCTCAGACAGACGTCTTTTGGACGTTTTAAAGATGTCTTCGTGCTGTCTGGGTAAGCATTGAAACTTACATTTCGTTAGTACAGGCAGAGCCGCTGAGAGCTAGGTCGGGCCCCGGGACAATTTTATAAAATTAGGCCCTTTCAAAAAAAGGTCATCATCTTGTATTTTACATAAACCAGCCCCAGATAGCACATAACGTTGTCAAGCCTTTCGACGAAGTTGCATTAACATTACTATACAACGTAAATGCAACATGCATGAGAAGTTGTTGAGGGAAATCAAAACCGTGCAAAACTTCTATTTGTTATTTACCTAGTTAACCTACCAGTTATGTTAACACAACGTAATAAAGTAATTTGCTAAAATAGTATCCACGAGAAGTACCGTGAACATCACAATGCTGAATTCAGAACGTTTATGTTTATGTCAATTGTCACTTGTCAATTTTTCTTGTCATTTGTCTTGTCTTTTTTGATGGTTTATTTTTTGACTTCCACAATTTATTTTATAAATAATTATTATTTATACATTCGAGTAGATTTAGTAAGGGTCCTCTATAAAATAGAAAACTATCTTCTAATAAGTACATTGTATTTGTTTCAGATTACAATGCCTGATGTAAATTTATTATTTCATTCATTAGGTATACAAAATGGTTTAACTACAATAAAAACAAAATATTGCAAATAAATCGTTGTAAACGAGAAGATAAACATTTAACCGAATGTTCAGTAACATTTTACACCAAATACTTATAAAAGGTAATTATATTTAATTAAACTAAAAATATTATTTAGTTTTTTTCTGACATTCTAGGAATTTTAGAAGCAAAAATAAATACTACAGAATTGTCTAAAGAAGAATATATAACACCTGAAATTTTATAGAAAGTGAATCTATAGGTACATGGTATGTCAGGTATATCAGAATTCAAGCAGTTCATTCTTTTCAACAGGCTAGATGTGCCTGGAAATGTAACCATCAGTTCAAGTGCAAACCAAGAAGAAAAGTTGAGAGAAATCATAGATGATGTTCTCGAGTATAATAGAATATCTTGTATAAAAATGCGTATATCTACCTTGGAAATTAAGCATAAAATTTGTAAAATTCAAACAAATTTCAATACACTAACATTGGTTGTTTTTATTTAAAACAACATATTTTTTAATTTCTATATAATTTCCTTTAATAATAGTTAAACAAGTTGTCAATTTCTTTTTTATTCAATGTATTGAGAAGTAAAATCTTTTTATATAAAAATATAATTTATGCTCTTCTAATAAATTGTCATATTTAGGTTACATTATAGCATTTTATAAATATCTATACAAAAAAAGTTAAAAGGCTTGATTTAAAATAGATGATATATCTTTGCGTCTAGAGGTAAGAAATCAGGGAACTTAGCTATCCTCTAGTAATCTAATATAATAGTATGTACCTAGTCATTGTTGTATTTGTTTATTATTATTCACCAATCTAGCTTTATCATCGTTCACTATTTAAGGTTTTAGTGAACCTTTGCAATATTGGTACCTTATTATACTATTTGGCTAATTTTGTCCAATCGTTCAGTGCTTCATAGATAGCTTCTTATATCCCACATGTGTAATTGTGTTTGTGATATAAAGTGTGTTCTTTTATTCAATAATTGTTCCATCAGTGATTGATGTCATGATGTCACTAATTAATTTCTGGTGCAAGATATTTGCTCTGAAAATAAGAACGAACGACATCTCTCAAATGAAAAATTTGACGTTTGGCATCGCTTCAAAAATTAAACCTGTTTTAATTTAATTTAACAGTAATTTATCTCTTCTGCAGTCGTTTTATATTTAAACTCTTATATTGTAGGTTAACTTTTATCTAAATAATCGTGTTCACACATTCAAACAAATTGATTAACTATCCTCACCATTAATCTATCACATATTCATTGGCTTTTAAAGCCGATGGATGCGTTGGCTCATCGGTGAACTCACCGCTGGAAAAAAGCATGATTGACACATACAATCGTCTTTCCATCACTTAATTTACGAACGATTTGCTTCAAGCACTGGATACACCGCTGAATAAAAGAAAACGCCTTGTACCTACCTCTACTTTTGTTATGTTGAATGCTCATTCAACAATGCGCTAGTTCAGTGTGATGTCATTTTGGTTCCACTGACATTTAATTCTAACCAAACTTTTAACAAAAACATCAATAAATTTGACATATACGTTTTTACTGTTTTTATTGTATTTCAAAATATTGTTTACAAGTCATAAAAAATAGTTTAAAGGTATGTAATTGGTAACTAAACGATTGTATATTTGATACATGCTATCTACTTACTTTAGGAATATATTTATAAAAGTGAAAAAAACGATATAATTTAGGTAAGCAAAACGAACAAAACGCACTCAAAAAATCTACTGTCACTTTAATTGTCAGTGGAACCATAATTACATCATCACTGAACTAGCGCATTGTAAATGCAATAAACATTTGATTTTAAACCAATGAGAACTTTTATAGTTCATTTTGACAGTTTTTTAAAAAAAAAAAAGAGTAAATCACACTTACCATCATTTGCTTCCTTGGATTCTTAATAATAAAAGGCTTAGTTTCAAGAAAATCACCTATAGTTATCTTTATATAGGCACTTATCTAGTACGTAAGTAAATAAGATAAATACATTATATTGATATCTATCTATCAGCCACTCATAGACTAAATAAAAATGTATTCCTAGAACTCATTGACTGCGTATACAGTATGATTCATAAAAAAAAGGAAAAAGGGCAATAATTTACCAGTGGATTCTATATCGAAAAAATAGTAGTTTGGAAAGTTTGGAGACCCCTGTATTAAACCAAGATAGCTTACGTAGCGTCCTTTATGCGATACACCAAAAAATGTATATATTTCATCGATGCGCAACTATATTTTGAATTTCACAGATCACATTGTAACATTTTAAAATTCTTTTAAAATGTTATTTAGAATATGTGACATCCTGTATAAAATTGGTATTAAAATAATTTAAAATTTAATTATCGCCGCACGCAATATTCCTGAGAAAGGGAAATTTCGCGAAGTTGAAGTTTTATTTAGTCAGTCGTTGTCGGGCCTTTTCTAGAAATTCTTTTTAACATCATCCCAGCAAACATACATACGTACATAAGACGTAGTACGTACTGATGGGACGTAGTGTTCGTACTTAAATATACGAAGTACGTACGTAGTACGTACATAATACGTACATTTTCCAAACGATTTACGTCGTAGTACGTACTTAAAGTACGTACCTAATATAAGTACTGTGTACGTACCTAAAGTAAGTTCTCTTTACGTACCTAATGTACGTACTGTGTACGTACTTAATGTACATACTATGTACGTACTATGTTTGTACTTATTCCAATAGAGTACATGTTCTAGAGGTATTAGTGCAATGCAAAGAAAAGTAAACAAGTTAATTTGTATTTATTTAATTTTTTACATTAGAAGAATAAGTTAAATTGTTTTGCTTTTTTGAAAGTTTTTAGGCATCACACTAGCCTTCTTCTCTTTGCATTTGCTACTTTTTATAGCACCTTCTGCAAAGAAATAATATCAAATTACAAACTTAACTTAGGTACTTTTTATAAAGAATATTTTATGAGATTACATAATAAAAACAATATAACAAAAAGATGTAGAGCAAAGTAAGCGATAGTTTCTACGGCTCAAAATTATCATTGTCAATATACTTCTGGATCTAAACCTCTCTCATTTTTATCCATCTCTTTTGGTTTTGGCCTTATGTCTTTGAAATCCAATTCGTTCCTGATACTGCTCCAAGGGCGGCTCCAAGACGAATTTTCGGAGGGACATTGCCTTTAGATCAGTGGGTCTCAAACTTTTTTGGTGACGGAACCTTTTTGAAAAGCGAAATATCTGACGGAGTCCTAAACACATTTCTAAAAAAGTCTCCGAGCAAAATTCTCCTTACTCTAGCCTCTTGCCAGGTCCCTCCCGTTTCTTTGCGGAGCCCCTACAACAAAATCCTCAATGTAGCGATAGATACTGCTTTTTTTATGACTATTATTTTCTTCGCGGAATCCCCAGGATTTGCGGAGCCCCACACTTTGAGTTACGCTGCTTTAGATATTTAAATTTTGCCTTTTTAACATATTTTTTTGAATAAAAGGCTCATAAATCGTAAGAATTTTCTTCTCGGGGGGGAAAGGGGGCATGGCCCTTATGCCCCCTCCTGGAGCCGCCCTTGCACTGCTCTATAATATCAGAACTCCTATATTTCTTTTTGTTAAGCTATACCTCCGTCAGTTTTGAATTAAAATATTAAATACCCTTGGTTATATATTCATTTCCTTAAACCTTTTCAATTGTTTTGTAGCATTTTTGTAATGTCAATTAAGGGATGTGTATTGGAGAGGGTGGAAAGTAAGTGGACTGTATATTTAAAGTTGATGGAGGTTACTTCTTCGAAAAGTTCCCGCCCTAACCAATACAAGAGAGTAAAATTGTTTGTGTAGAACTCACCACTTTCACACGAATAAAAGTCATACACAAACTAAATGGTTTATTTAAATAAACAGAGAAGTCAGAAGGACTTCTCACAATATAACTATAATAAAAATGTATTGTCTTAGACGTGGCAACACTGCACGTTTGCTCGACTTTTCCTTAAAATTAAATACAAGAAAAATAGTCAAAAAACTTACATATTATATGTCACTTTCAGCACTGATTTTATTAGCATTAGTAAAAAGAGAGAATCAAAATACATAGGGGTTGGTAAAATAGACATTTTCGTCGTTTTTAACGCTAGCGCACAAAACAACACCAATCATATTTGAGTAGTGGGGTACTACTGCCGCGAGTACTGGGTTCGAGCGTAACTGGTCGGGAATCGGGAACCGCTCCGTGGTGATGCAGAGAAATACGTGGTATTCTGAAACCCGATCAGAGAGATATGGAGATATTTTATAATTGTACAGGGTAGAGTTAAAATTAAGTCGCGCAGGTGGATTTTAATTTTCAAAATCCAACATTCTGCCCGCGCGAGAAGTGTAAATGTGCTAGCACAAGTTTGCTACTACATAACAAATGAATGAATGAATAAATGCTAGATACATAAGAGAAACGTTTAAAATCAGAAGATCCGCTAGAAAGTCTCAACTTCCGCAGATGGAAGTGGACATACTTTGGAAATAGGCCTAGTCACCTCACCGTTCTGAGTTCTAAGACGTGCTACACGCACCCTGCCGTCTTTACCTGGTATTATTTCTATAATTCGAGCCAAGGGCCATCGCAAAGGGGGAGTTTCTTGGTCCTTAACTAAGACCACCTGATTGAGCTTAAGGTCGGTTAAAGGTCGTAACCATTTAGGGCGTTGTTGAAGTCTATGGAGGTAATCTACTGTCCAACGTTTCCAAAAAGTTTGCTGAATTTTGGAACAAATTTTCCAAAAGGAAAGTCTGTTATCTGGTAAATGAGTTAAGTCCTTTTCAGGAAATGCCGTTAGAGAGGTTCCTATTAAAAAGTGACCAGGTGTGAGTGATTGTAAAACCGAAGGGTCGTTGGAAAGTGCACACAATGGTCTGGAGTTTAAAATTGCCTCTATTTGCGTGAGTATAGTTGAAAATTCTTCATAGGTTACTCTTGTTTCACCTAAGATTCTTAATAAGTGGTATTTTGCACTTTTGACAGCCGCTTCCCAGATACCTCCCCAATGTGGTGAACGGGGGGGAATGAAACGCCATTCTGTTTCATTCTGTGACAAAAACTCTCGGATATGATCGTAAATAGATTGTGATTTAAAGAAGTCGTAAAGTTCTTTAAGGTCATTTTTTGCACCGAGAAAATTGGTGCCGTTATCACTAAAAATTATGGTAGGGTTACCACGTCTGGAGATAAACCTGTTGAGCGTAGCCAAAAAAGCTTCGGTAGTTAAACTAGTGACACATTCGATGTGGACGGCCTTTGTTACCATGCAAACAAAAAGAGCTATATAACCTTTAATAAGAGGAGCTTTTCTTAGCCTAGAGGATTTTAAGAGAAATGGGCCCGCAAAATCTATCCCTACTTTTTGAAAAGGGCGAGCTACACAAACCCGCTCCTTCGGGAGGTCGGCCATGATTTGTTCAGCTACAGTGGCATTGAACCGGTGACAAGTGATACAAGAGTGAATGATGCGTTTAATTTCTCTAAGTCCGTTTAGAGGCCAAAAACGTAACCTAAAGTTAGAAAGAGTATTCTGTGCGCCTGCGTGACCTAATATGATATGCTCTTTTTTAAGCATAAGCGATACTATATGAGTGTGGGAAGGGAGTAAAATGAGGTGCTTATGAGAGTCTGGTATGGCTGCGTAGGTAAGCCTACCTCCAACCCGCAGAAACCCATCTTTATCCACAAAGGGCTTAAGAGCTAAAATAGATTTATTAATTAAGGGGCGATTTGCCAAAAGGGCCTGCATTTCTTGAGCAAAATGTTCTTTCTGAATAATTTTAATAATGCGCAGCTTCAAGTTCTGAAACAGAAAGAGGACCAACTTTCCTTTCAATATTTTTTAAGTTATGAGAAAAACGCAACACGTACGCCACTGTACGTTGTGTTTTTGAAAAATTTGAAAATTTAGCCAAAAACGACATCCAAAAATTTTCTTTGGTTGTATTAACTTTTAACGAAATTTTCTATTCTTCTGGGGGGTGGTCCACGATATGGGGGGTAGTTTTAAATAAGTTTAAATCAAAGTTGGGGTCGCGGAGAAATTCAGGGCCATGAAACCAGTTGTTCCACATTTTATTAGAAAAAATTCCCCGAGAAAGCGGATCCGCGGCGTTATTATGTGACGATATGTGACGCCACTGGAATTTTTCAGTGAGTACCTGAATTTGCGAGACACGATTGGAGACAAAGGTCGTCCATCGGCTAGAGTGACTTCCGACCCAACAAAGAGCAATTGTGGAGTCTGTCCAAAGGTTCACCGAACCGAAGTCAATTTTATTTTCAAATATGTGTGAAACTTTTTTCACCAAATTAGAGAGGAGTAACATGGCACACAATTCTAACCTAGGGACCGTGATAACCTTCTTGAGAGGTGCTACATGAGACTTTGCCGTTACCAGAGTACAAGAAAAAGTGTTGTCCGAGTATTGAACCCTTAAATATACTACAGCGCCGTACGCCAATGTGCTGGCGTCAGAAAAACCATGTAAGTCTATACGCGATATTTCTTTAGAAGAGAAGAGGTACCTGGGTATCGTCAAATCTTTAAGTTGCAACAAATTTTGTACAAATTCTTGCCAAAAGTTTAAGAGGATTGGGTCCTTAATTTTCGTATCCCAATCGAGTTTGGAGATCCAAATGTTTTGCATGAGGATTTTACCTGCCACAATAATTGGGTTGACCAGCCCTAAAGGGTCAAAACAAGAACTGATCACCGACAAAATTTTCCTTTTGGTGAGGGGTTGTAAGTCCAACACCGATGGTACAGATATCCTAAATTCGTCCAGAGACGGGTTCCATTTAAGGCCTAAAATTTTACAAGAAGATTCGTCTAAATTCAAATCTTTTTCAGTTGAATTTTCGTGAGAAATTTTTTGCAAAAATTCGCTAGAGTTCGATTGCCATTTATGTAATTTGAAACCAGAGTTGTTTAGAGCAGTATTGAGTTGAGAAAAAAGTGTTTCCAGATCTGAGAGTGTTTCAGCACCGGAGAGCACATCATCAATGTAAGTTTGTGTAAGAAGGGCAATAGAAGCTAAAGAGATGTGTGTGTTTCTCTCAGCAATATCTTTGAGGACTTTACATGCAAGAAATGGCGCAAAGGTTTGGCCAAAAGAGACTGTTTGCAATTCGAGGCATTGCAAGGGTTCTTGGGGTGAGTTCCTCCATAATATATTTTGTAAAACGTTTTGATTAGGGTTTGTTTTAATTTGTCTGAACATCTGTCTGA